TAAAGTTTTTTACAGTGTTCTGTCACTTGTATTAGTTTTATGTGTCTTGTTTGCTGACGAAGGCTCTAAGCTGAAACGTCTAAATCTTATTGTTCTGTCTGTTCATTCAAGTTTAACATACTTTGTTCTTATCTTATATTTCTTCATTGACTTCGGAAAAGCATTCAACTGGAACACTCACCGTTTTTAAATATAGTATTACATTACATTACATTACACTAAATTACAAAACGTTCGACGTTGTTTGAAATTTAAAAAAAAAAATGATATTCCAGAACATGAAAATTACTGAAGATGACTAATAACAGTATTGTTTTATTTTTCTGAGCCCAGCATTTAACCAATGAATGATCAGGTTGTGTGTGTATAATCATAAAATAAAATAAACACAATGTCCATTGTTTCAAAGAATGTTTATAGCAAACTTAGGAGTTGTATGGCGCACGTTTTTAACATCAGATTAATAATGGATTGGCAATTCAGGATTTNGTAGGGGTTGGGGTTAAATGAATTTTATTTATTTAATTTTTTTTTTTTTTTGGAGAGCTGGTCTTAAATGGATAGATGATGTGGAAACAGATCTATAGCAGCCGGGAATCCAAGCATGGAAAAGAAAAACATTAGTTAGGTCTCAGTGGAATGAAGTGGTGATGCAGGCTAAAGCCCTACATGGGCTGTAGCGCCACAGGGATGGGTGGGTAGATGGTTTAAGAGAAAGGAAGTGGTGAGGCAGGCCAAAGCCCAACATGGGCTGTAGCGCCACAGCGATGGATGGATGGATGGATGGTCTGAGTGGAAGGAAGTAGTGAGGCAGGCCAAAGACTTACATGGGCTGTAGCGCCACAGGGATTGATGGATAGATGGTCTGAGTGGAAGGAAGTAGTGAGGCAGGCCAAAGACCTACATGGGCTGTGGTGCCACAGGGATTGGTGGAGCGAGAGCTGGGACGAGATACACTTTGGTCTTGATATTTGATGAGAAATTATACAATCATGTCGCCCAAAGTAAGATGCGATGAAATAAAGGATATTATACAAAGAATTGGAAAACACAGAAAAAGAAAGACACTAAACAACAAACGTTTCGGCTAGAAGCCTTCTCCAGCGAACTTGATCGAACGTCAACAAGCCTTGCATAGGATAACAAATACAAATACATAAAAGTAAAAATTTGGCTAAAGATGGTATCCCAGAGATCAGAAATTGGGAGGGGTAGCGTGGGGGGGGGGGGGCTACGAAAATTTAGATCTTTGTCTCGACTGAACACATTTTGTTTTGGGGGGGGGCAGGGGTAGTTGCGGGCAGGGGAAATTTTGTGGGTGTCATGATCAGCGAGGAGAAGGGCTCGTTTTTTTCTTCAAGACAATCTATTTTGCTGAGAAATGATGGAGGTGATACTTAAAAAGTTTAGTCCTGTCGCCATTATCCCATATCCGAGACTTGGAGTTAGGTGAAGGCATCCCTTATAGGAGACTTGAAGGTACCCCTTAGATGAGACTTGAAGGCATCCTTAGATGAGACTTGAAGGCATCCCTTAGACGAGACTTGAAGGCATCCCTTAGATGAGACTTGAAGGCATCCCTTAGATGAGATTTGAAGGCACCCCTTAGATGAGACTTGAAGGCATCCCTTAGATGAGACTTGAAGGCATCCCTTAGATTAGCATTGAAGGCATCCCTTAGATGAGACTTGAAGGCATCCCTTAGATGAGACTTGAAGGCATCCCTTAGATGAGACTTGAAGGCATCCCTTAGATGAGACTTGAAGGCATCCCTTAGACGAGACTTAAAGGAATCCCTTAGATGAGATTTGAAGGCAGCCCTTAGATGAGATTTGAAGGCACCCCTTAGATGAGATTTGAAGGCACCCCTTAGAAGAGATTTGAAGGCACCCCTTAGATGAGACTTGAAGGCATCCCTAAGATGAGACTTGAAGGCACCCCTTAGATGAGACTTGAAGGCATCCCTTAGATGAGATTTGAAGGCACCCGTTAGATGAGACTTGAAGGCATCCCTAAGATGAGACTTGAAGGCACCCCTTAGATGAGACTTGAAGGCATCCCTTAGATGAGACTTGAAGGCACCCCTTACATGAGATTTGAAGGCACCCCTTAGATGAGACTTGAAAGCATCCCTAAGATGAGACTTGAAGGCACACCTTATATGAGACTTGAAGGCACCCCTTACATGAGATTTGAAGGCACCCCTTAGATGAGATTTGAAGGCACCCCTTAGATGAGATTTGAAGGCACCCCTTAGATGAGATTTGAAGGCACCCCTTAGATGAGACTTGAAGGCATCCCTAAGATGAGACTTGAAGGCATCCCTTAGATGAGACTTGAAGGCATCCCTTAGATGAGACTTGAAGGCACCCCTTAGATGAGATTTGAAGGCACCCCTTAGATGAGATTTGAAGGCACCCCTTAGATGAGATTTGAAGGCCCCCCTTAGATGAGACTTGAAGGCATCCCTAAGATGAGACTTGAAGGCATCCCTTAGATGAGACTTGAAGGCATCCCTTACATGAGACTTGAAGGCATCCCTTAGATGAGACTTGAAGGCATCCCTTAGATGAGACTTGAAGGCATCCCTTAGATGAGACTTGAAGGCACCCCTTAGATGAGACTTGAAGGCATCACTTAGATGAGACTTGAAAGTATCACTTAGATGAGACTTGAAAGCATCCCTTAGATGAGATTTGAAGGCATCCCTTAGATGAGACTTGAAACCATCCCTTAGATGAGACTTGAAACCATCCCTTAGATGAGATTTGAAGGCATCAACACGTTGAGGTGCTGATGAAAGAGCTGTTTCCTTACAGGATTTAGGATGGGAAGAAAAGGATTACAGTAGGCGGAAATGAGTAGACAAAATTGCAAAGCAAATACATCTTTATAATCAACCCTTTATTTTCAAATAAGTTTATGATTACAAACAAATAGTAACAATCTCTCTTATTTCTAATTGCCAGTTTTGTGCTAGGTAGTGACAAATTATTTTTTTTTTTAATATGACATGCCAAAAAACAACAACAAAAAAAAGCTCAATTTAATATAACTGAAACAAGAACACATTTATGGACAGCTCAATGTTCTTCAGCTAAAGTGTTTTTTTTTTTTTTATACTTGCAATTTTTGCTTCATTCTCCATACAAAAATTGAATGTAAAATGTAAAATACACGTTTTCTCTTTTCTTCCTCTATGAAAACCAAAGTGTTTAATAAAACTAATACATGGAGGCGTTTACAATTATAAAGCTAAATTTTGTCCTTATTGCTAAATTTTATTACAAACACATTTTTAAAAACGTTAAATGACCTAAAAGTGAATATTACTTGACTCTCTTCCCTTTCATATAAATGTAACACAATAAGTTGCCAATAATTGTAATACAATAACTTTCCAATAAGTGTAAGTGAAACATAATAAGTTTCGAATAAGTGTTTACAAAAAATGTTTCCTATGAGTGTCACAAAATAAGTTTCATATGGCTGTAAATCAATAAGTTTCCAATGAGTGTCACACAAGAAAATGCCCAAGTTATTTTCAAGTTTGTTACCCAGATTAATATCAATTTCTCCCGCGAGTAAGGATTTGGAATACAAAAAAGATATAGATATGTATATATATTATCCCGCTATAACGTAAGGTATTGTCTTTTATTAATGTAATGATCAAATAATTGTAATTGATGGTTATGTTGTTAGCCCTTACATGAAGCCAACTTTAAATAACACAACACCATGGAATATATCTGGTTTCAATAGTAATATATGGGACATATCTGTTATCACGTGTTAAGTATGCAATCACGTGACTCTGGTACCTCTTTTATCACGTGTCATGCCGGTTAATGTTATCACTTGACTCTGGCAACTAACAGCGGTATGACGTAACTGGCAAGGGAAACCATAATATCCTCGTTAACTCTTACAGAGTTGAGAGCGCATAGCCCGCATGTAGCATGGAAAACAATTACTGGGATTCACTGTGAGCCATTCAGTCAATTAATTTCAACATAGTGCAATATTGCACTCGCAAGCATGTAAGATTGGGTCCAAAAGATTCCTATCAAATAGTTGCATCCATTGAGCATAGCGATCCTTCTTTCCATTGCTTCTGATAGTCTTGGGCTCTGAATAAAACTATCATGGAAAAAAAAACCGTCCCCTGCAATCAGTTGTTGAAACAAGAAGTAATAAAACCAATGTTAGGCGTCATGCAAAACAGCACTAGTGTACCAAATAGCCATTATATCAAACAGGCAGTGTACCAAACAGCCAGTGCACCAAACAGCCAGTGTACCAAATAGCCATTATACCAAACAGGCAGTGCACCAAACAGCCAGTGCACCAAACAGCCAGTGTACCAAATAGCCATTATACCAAACAGGCAGTGTACCAAACAGCCAGTGCACCAAACAGCCAGTGTACCAAATAGTCATTATATCAAACAGCCAGTGCACCAAACAGCCTGTACACCAAACAGCCAGTGTATGGACCAACAGCACGTTCATTGGCTTGATATATTGCCTGTGAATCAATTGGCACTGCGAGCCTACAACGATTTTATGGCCAGAGGAAGACCCCGCTGGGCCAGAGGAAGACCGCGCTGACTTAGGATTGACTGTGCTTAGGACACCCAAAAAGTCCACAGCGTGGAATCTTCAGCAGTCCTCACACCTTGTGACACATGGACATCATTACCTCTCTAAGATTTACACCCCCCCCCCCACGGAATCCTCGACGCGCAGAAGCAGACAGAAGAAGTGGAAGAAGACATATGAAGTAAAAGCAGACAGAAAAAGTAGAAGCAGACAGAAGTAGGAGCAGACAGAAGAAGTAGAAGCAGACAGAAGTAGGAGCAGACAGAAGAAGTGGAAGAAGACAGATGAAGTGAAAGCAGACAGAAAAAGTAGAAGCAGACAGAAGTAGGAGCAGACAGAAGACGCAGGAGCCGACAGAAAAAGCAGGAGCAGACAGAAGAAGTAGAAGCAGACAGATGAAGTAGATGGCTTGGAAGTAGATGGCTTGGTCGTTGAGGACTATGTTATTTGCTATAGTGGCTGTTGTTGTAACAAAGAAAAAAGTCATTGTGGGCCGAAGAAATGATTTACAAAATGTCATTTGTAATGAAATGATACAATCTGCTCAAATGGAAGGAAGATGAAATATAACAAATGAATGTCAAGATCCTTTAATGTGACAAGTACGGTACAGAAACAACTCGACAGAGGAAACAAAAAGTTCAACTGCAACCAAAGAGTTGGGTATAGCTGGAAACAGGCAACAAGGGGATTCCAAGATCCTGGTGTGTTTTTCAGTAGTCTAAATGAACATTTCAAGTAATAGATTTAGAAAATGTTATAAAAATTAAAAATTTTTCAATTGCTAATGGTAAGTTTAGTGGAGGTGGGTGGCACCGAAAAAAAAATGGGGGTGGGGGGGTGGGGTGGGCAGGTCATTTGTTTCACTCACGGGAAGTTTTAAAATGACTCAAGAAAGAAAAATTTGTTACAACTTTATTAAAAGTAAAATAATTTTTAACAATAAAAGGACATTTTAGATGTTGCTCTGTGATGATGTTGTGTGATGTTGTTCTGTTATGTTTTGTCTGTGATTTTATTGTGTTACGTTGTGAGCACGGCAAAGAGGACAATTGATAAAAATGGCATTTACTGAAGTCTATAGAAGAAAAAAACAAGTTACACTTAACTTCAGTTTATGCTACAGGCGTTTCAATTTTATAAAGTAAATAAGCTGATATTATACAGGTTAGTATCATACAGGTTAGTATCATACATGTTAGTTTTATAATACAAGTTAGAAGTATACAATTTTAACAAATCAGAAAGGTTTACTTTGAAGTATAATTTGGAGAAATGAATTTTTGAAAAATAATTTATTCAAATGATAAACATTTCTCATTAGTCCCAAAAGCACATGTATTGGTTTGGCAAATGGGCCAAGTACCGGTACGACACAGTGGAACTATTAACCGGGTTTTCTTCTAATATTTGACCTCCATCATACTGCTCATCTCCATCATACTGCTCATGTCCATCATACTGCTCATCTCCATCATAATGCTCATCTCCATCATACTGCCACCGCAGGCCCGCACCTAGAAAATCCTGAGCCTCAGACAGCTGACAGAGATCGGGCCCCTTTCGTATTTCAAACATGTGCGTATATTTTAAAACTTGAAAAATGTTAGGCCCCCCGATTAGCTCAAGCCCCTTGACAAGTGTCATGGTTGTCTCCCACTAGGTGCGGGCTTGGCCTCCGGATCCACCCATGCTCACAACCAATTTTGTTTATTCTTCACTTCATATAAATTAATTTTTTTTTATTTGTTATTTTTATTTGTTTTTTTTTACAAGTCTTGTCAACTTTGTTCACCAGTTAAACATATTTTGACAGATTTAAATCCATTTTTAAAAACTTGTCGAGAGATGATAACATTTTTATATGTCAGGTGCTCAAAACCAATATATGAGTCAATCATTAAAAAAAACAGAAATTATAATAATCTCTGGTTCTGAAAAAATAAATACCTCTAAAGAAATTCTTTACTGTTCAGTGTAAACAGAGTAAATATATGACCATCATACATCTCAGCTCCATCATACTGCTCACCTCCACTTTACTGCTAATGTCCATCATACCGCACATCTTAATCATACTTAAAATCATTTAAAAAAACAGAAATTATAATAATCTCTGGTTCTGGAAAAATAAATATCTCAAAAGAATTCTTTAATGTTTAGTATAAACAGAGGAAATATATGAACAACCACAACTCCACCGCTTTGTGAAAAGGGGTGGGGGGACGGGGACGGACTATTTACAGTAAATAAAATGACACAAACATAATTTAATAAAAGGGGTTAACCTGTTAGATGTTAACTAAGTTGTTAGTTGTCAATAGATGTCAACTAAGCTGTTAGATGTTAACTAACCTGCTCGATGTCAAGTAATGAACAAATGAAACTTATTTAAAATAAAACCTTTGAGGTTTACAAAAGAAAATGGTAAAAATCACAACAAACAATCAAACAGCAAATAAATCAAGAGTAAAAAAAAATTATGGAGGCCAAGTCAAGTAATTTATGACTTTAGAACTTTTTAAAAAAATTATGGAGGCCAAGTCAAGTAATTTATGACTTGAGAACTTTAAAAAAAAAATTCACCAAAACAATCAGCAGATTACGGGAGACAACTTCTAAGAGGGGAGACAAAAAGAGGACATGTTTACTTGAAGAGTTGACTTTATTTACACATGGCAATAGGCCACATATCAAGTACATTCCATTTTCTACTTTGACTGAGCTACGATCAACAAAACTGGTTTCATCACATTCATCAATTCAAACTCCAAAAATTCAAACAAAATTAAATGAAGAAAAAGTATAATAATTAACAATTTACATTACCGGCATAAAAATCACGTAATAACATATAACAACAGACAAATAATTATAATAACTCTTTAAATTACATTTGAATGTTTGATGTCAGTAAATTGGATGTTAAATGCAGGATGTGTCGAATGGAGGATGTGTCTAATGGAGGATGTGTCGAATGGAGGATGTGTTGACCAAACTAAATTGTTTTCTTTAATGAATCAGAGCTGATAGAAAAATGTGTAGAAAAATGTAGCCACAATAGAGATATGTAATAAAACTGGTGTAACCCTTCCTGTAAAGAGCTTCATATTTACATGTAGCTCTTAACTACACAATAGCTATTGTTTTTTGTGTGTGTTTATGATCAATATTTGGATTAGAAATATCACATGTTGGATAGCAGGAGTTCCCTCTCTTTGCTTGTTGACATGCCTCCAAATTGTAGACTGGGATATTTTCATTTGACATTAATTATTTATTTCTAATGTCAGCATTGTTTTGACATTTCAATTCTTTTTAGGTCAAATGTTAACCAAAGGCAAGGGAGGTAAGGGAATCCCTTCAGTGGTGTGGCAGAGAGTCAGTTCACTGCCGTGGCATCTTTTCATTCTGGACTTGGAAATAGCAAGCCTGGAAAAAAAATATAAAATATAAACAGAACAGAAAGACTTTCTCTTAAAAAAATAAGTTCTAGTAAGGACAGACACTGTGCCTTTTTGAATTGGTGCACAACAAATGTCCTATACGGATCATTTATTTAATTTTGTAATGACCTGGGGTTCATGCAATGACTTGGGTTCATGCAATAATTTGGGTTAATCTAATGCCTTGGGTTCACATGACTTGGGTTCACTAGAAATTACTTGGGTTCATGCAATAAATTGGGTTTATGTAATGACGTTGGTTCACATAATGACTTGGGTTCACTAGTATGCGCACACCGGGTTTGGAAATTTTTTTAATGTGGACACTAGCAGATACATGACATGACTTACATCAGCACCTTTCATCTCTCAAAACAGGGACCACTTTATCCAAATTTGCTTTCGCATTAGTTTTTTAGCTATCCCAATACACTTCAGGCTGAGGTGATGCTTTAATTCAATAAAGTTTTTTTTCTTTTTAAGAGGCCCAAAATGTGTTTGAAAACATTGTTCTTAGTAAACAATCAGCAAGAAAACAAAAATAGTTTATAATTGTTTACATCACTTGTCCAATTGTATAGGTAAGTATTAGCAGGGATGTCATGGCGGGGAGGTCATAGTGGGGAGGTCATGGCGGGGAGGTCATAGTGGGGAGGTCATAGCAGGGATGTCATGGCGGGGAGGTCATGGTGGGGAGGTGCATTCGGCAATCTGCCATTCAGTTGGTGATCTGCCCCATAGATGGAGATATGCCCTACAGTTTGTGATCTTCCCTGCAGCTGGTAATCTGCCGCACAGTTGGTGATCTGCCGCACAGCTGGCAATATGCCACAGTTGGTGATCTGCCACACAGTTGGTGATCTGCCCACACAGCTGACAATCTGCCCCATAGCTGGCAATGTACCCTACAGTTGCTTATCTGCCCTACAGTTTGAAATCCGCCCCACATTCCCTACATGTATTTTTTGAGGTTTTTAATTCCACTTCCAGCTCTGGCTGCGCTTGCTGCACGTAGGGGTTTCATTCTCTTAGATGAGTTACAATCCAAGGTTTGCGAGTCCCGTATAGTCTGAGTGCCGGTGTTGCTTTGTTTGAATTGGTTTGAGCTTGAGTGTATTTAATGTACGACCAAACAAACCTTGAGTGTGGTGAACATACAAACCTTGAGTGTGGTGAACATACGAACCATGAGTGTGGTGAACATACGAACCTTGAGTGTGGTGAACATACAAACCTTGAGTGTGGTGAACATACGAACCTTGAGTGTGGTGAACATACAAACCTTGAGTGTGGTGAACATACGAACCTTGAGCGTGGTGAACATACAAACCATGAGTGTGGTCAGTATACAAACTTTGAGTGTGGTGAACATACAAACCATGAGTGTGGTCAATATACAAACTTTGAGTGTGGTGAACATACAAACCTTGAGTGTGGTGAACATAAGGCCAAACTCCCCGTGCTCCATGTGGGGTTCCATCAAGTCTTCAATCATCTGCAGTTCAGCTCCAAGATGGTGGATTTTGGCTCTGACCACAACAAACTGGAAGATGGGGAACAGGTCGTCCATGCACCACATGTGTTCATCCTTCAAAGCCTGGGTCACAGTCTGACAGGATTCAAAGAAAACAGCTGATCAGTAAGAGGGGCTTCACTTGACAAAAAAGGTCACATGCTAAATAGATCTGTCCATCTCCAAACAAGATGGCCATCACTTCAAGGTAATGCACTACAAGCGTGGCCATCACTTCATTATGGCTGGTGATGAAAATTTTCTCTGATAAATAAATCTGTGAAATCTTAAATTTTGTTTTAAATCAGTAATTTTAATGGCTATAATCTGTATTATTTACTACTGTTTTACCTTTGTAATCTCATTGAACGTCTGTTCAATTATCTTCAGCTTCTCCAGAGGGCTGAACGCTGTACTGAAAATGTAAATAACATAAGGTCGGAGGTCAGGTCTTGTTATGTTGACATGTTTAGTGATGTCTAAAATCATTTCTAAAAAGTCAAGGAAGGTTTCCTTAATTTAGACACAATGATCTGAAGCCAGAAACATGCCCATTTTCAAAATAACAGTCACAAAAATAAGGATAGTGTGGATGTGCTGTGAAATTAGCAGGCTTATTTGACCAACACATGTTTAAAAAAAGCACAGCATTAACTAAGTTTCAACATTTTGTTGTTAACATACCGTACATTACCCGATGTGATGGCAAAAAAATTCAAAAAAAAGAAAATCATCAATTCACTGGTGCACAATTTTATTTTGCTCTTGGCGCCCTAGCTGAATCGAGGATGTCCTAAAGCAGCCTTGCTGAATGCATGTTTTCCTTAAGGCACCCTTGCTGAATGCATGTTTCCCTAAGGCACTCTTGCTGAATGCATGTTTCCTTAAGGCACTCTTTCTGAATGCATGTTTCCCTAAGACACCCTTGCTGAATGCATGTTTTCCTTAAGGCACCCTTGCTGAATGCATGTTTCCCTAAGACACTCTTGCTGAATCCATGTTTCCTTAAGGCACCCTTGCTGAATGCATGTTTCTCTAAGACACTCTGGCTGAATGCATGTTTCCCTAAGACACTCTGGCTGAATGCATGTTTTCTAATGAGACCCTTGCTGAATGCATGTTTCCCTAAGGCACTCTTGCTGAATGCATGTTTCCTTAAGGCAGCCTTACTGAATGCATGTTTCCTTAAGGCACCCTTGCTGAATCCATGTTTCCTTAAGACACCCTTGCTGAATGCATGTTACCCTAAGACACCCTTGCTGAATGCATTTTACTCTAAGGCACCCTTGCTGAATCCATGTTTCCCTAAGGCACCCTAGGGCAATTGCAGAGAATTGGTGCCATGACATCATTTTGTGATTTTTGTAAAGTTTGTGCTTTGGATTCACTCCCCTCATTGTTGTAACTAGAGTAAAATTTCCATTAATATTACTGATGGCATGTTTTGAATTAAATTTGTAATGGTCGATTAATTATAATGTTAAAATTTCATTGGTTGGATAATTATAATATTTTAATTTTTCCGCCATATTTCAAAATGATTTGGCATTGAAGGCCTTGCATTTTATTCATTTTCTTGAAATTCTTTTTGTTGGAACCTGGAATAAAGTGTGTAGAAGTGTATTCTATGACACTGTAAGTTGGGTTTTCATTATTGAATTATTTTACAATTATTTTTTATTGTTTTTCTTCATTGTTATAGTTTTCTTGCCACAGTGTGTTATTGCAGCCACATACATGTTTTTTACTTGAGGCTTTAGGGCTAGTTTTAGGGTTTGGGTTAGGTTTAGGGATTAGGGTTAGGGTTAGGGTTAGGTTTAGGGATACTTTAAGGGTTCAGGTTAGGTTAAGTGACAGTGAATTCTTTGTGTGTAGGCCCTACTGGCTGAAATTACGCGAGGAAAGAGACTAACCACAGGTCGTCGCCGCTTCTTGCCAAAGATCTTTTTCTTCTATATCTTAAGAGCCCATGATCAATTTATTGATCATTCTGGTGCCTATGCATGTAGAGGGGATTTGCAATGTTTCTGTGCCTGGTGTTGAAGAAGATATTTCACTGGTTGCAAAAGCTACTCAGTGAGGGTATCATGAACTCGGGGTTGGAAGGCCTGAGGCAATAGATGCAAATGTTTCAAGCGTTTTCGCCTCAACTGTTTCTTTTGAAAGTTTGATCCAGTCCCTGATTATCTTTGGCAGAAATGAGCAGTTCCATTTACTGGCATCTAGACAGATGCAATAAAGTAGCTACGCTCACCGCAGAATTTATGTACCGGCGAACATTTTTTCATTAAATTTTAACGTTTTATTCCTAATCTTAGCAGCAGACGATATTTTATTTGGGTCTTGGCAACCAAGTTGGCGGTCGTGTGATAGATCATGGCACAAATTGTCTGCATTTACAATATCCTATTTATGTAAAATTCTAGCAAGTGCACTGCAACACTGCCAATAAATTTGTTTAAACTCCTCATAAAATTGATAAACATAATTACTATACAGCGATATAGTACCATTCTTAGTGACTTCTGTAATCAGTTAAGTTTAAGTAGGTTACCGTTTTCCCACACATTCCACAAGAATTTGTGTCCTGTCCCATTAAATTTAAAATACAATAATAGTGAGGAAGTCACATGATTGGGGGAACTGCTTTTCTTATAGACAAGTGAACTTCCGGACCCACCTTAACTGCTGCAGTACGTCCACAGCTTCTGCATAGCAAACATCCTTTATGGTGGACAGCTTCTAGACAATGGGATGGAAGAAGACACATTTATTTCTAACTCAGTGTGTGCTTAAATATCATATGCATGAGGACATTTGCTGTTTATAATACTTAAAAAAACATGTTGAGGACCAACTGTTTAAAATAACATGGCTCAATGCCTACCTGTGTTTTGTCATGTTGAGGACCAACTGCTTAAAATAACATGGCTCAATGCCTACCTGTGTTTTGTCATGTTGAGGACCAACTGCTTAAAATAACATGGCTCACTGCCAACCTGTGTTTTGTCATGTTGAGGACCAACTGCTTAAAATAACATGGCTCACTGCCTACCTGTGTTTTGTCATGTTGAGGACCAACTGCTTAAAATAACATGGCTCAATGCCTACCTGTGTTTTGTCATGTTGAGGACCAACTGCTTAAAATAACATGGCTCAATGCCTACCTGTGTTTTGTCATGTTCAAGAATTTCTTCCATCAGCCAAAATCGTCTGAGGAGATCAAAGAATTAAATATAAGAATGTAGGATGTCATTAGTATGTCATTATTATGTCAGTAGTATGTCATTAGTATGTCATTATTATGTCATTAGTATGACTAAAGCATTAACACCAATTATATTTTATTCAGCAATGTTATGCGGCAATAACCTTGTAAAGTCATCTAGAAATGAAGTAAAATCATCTAGAAATAAAGTGAAGTCATCTAGAATTCAAGTTAAGTCATTTAGAATTAAAGTAAAGTCATTTAGAATTAAAGTAAAGTCATTTAGAATTAAAGTAAAGTCATCTAGAAATACAGTAAAGTCATTTAGAATTAAAGTGAAGTCATCTAGACTTACAGTGAAGTCATTTTGAAAAAAGTTAAGTCATCTAGACTTAAAGTGAAGTCATCTAGATTTAAGATGAAGTCATCTTGAATTAAAGTGTAGTCATCTAGAATTTAAGTTAAGTCATCTAGACTGAAAGTGAATTCATTTAGTATTAAAGAAAAGTTATTTAAAATTAAAGTGAAGTCATCTGGAATTAAAGTGAAGTCATCTAGAATTAAAGTGATATTATCTATAATTAAAGTGAAGTCATCTAGACTTAAAGTGAAGTCATCAGAAAAAAGTGAGTCATCTAGAGCCAGAGTGAAGTCATCTAGAATTACAGTGAAGACATCTAGAATTAAAGTGAAGACATCTAGACTTAAAGTGAAGTCATAAGTACTCTGTTAAAGCCCAGGTCTTAAATAACAGAGTACTTATGACAAGGCCTGGGCTATTAGAGTTGGCATAATAAGTGTCAAAGACCAAGAGGGTAGGATTAAAATTAAATTAAATGTGACCAAAATAATAGGTAAGTGGATCATATCCATGAATTTCAATGAATTGCATGAATTGGATAATCTTTAGACTGTCTGGTCAGCTTTATAAAAAAAAATTTCTCACAGCAAACATTGGCCAGATATTCAGCCACTTATCTGTATGCTGTAAACTCACTGCTCTGTTCTACAAACTCACTGCTCTATGCTACAAACCCACTGCTCTATCTACATACCCACTGCACTATCCTACAAACTCATTGCTCTACCCTACAAACTCACTGCTCTATCCCGAGATATGCCATCAATCCCATGTCACTCTGTCTGTTGAGCTTGGTCACTCTCTCCCAGTAGCGGTCATCATGGGACTCATTGTAGAGGGCATACAGGTCAAACAGGGGAGGATAAATCTTGGGGAGTAAAATCGGATACAGCAGCCCGGCAGCAGTGAGAACGGAACTGAAAAAAAAAAGATGCAATGTCCTATTTCCACTCAGACCTATGTTAACATAATACCGCCCACTTCCTTTTCATTTCCTGTCAGACCTATGTTAACATAATACCGCCCACTTCCTTTTCATTTCCTGTCAGACCTACGTTAACATAATACCGCCCACTTCCTTTTCATTTCCTGTCAGACCTATGTTAACATAATACCATCCACTTCCTTTTCATTTCCTGTCAGACCTATGTTAACACAATAACCTTCCAATTCCATTTTTATGTCCTCTCACATCTATGTTAATATAATGCCCTTCCATTCTTTTATTTTCTACTCCAAAACCCACCCTTTTTCCTTTCTTTTATTTATTTAATACCTAGAATATAATAAAATGTTTATCAAAATGAAATATTTTGTTTTTCTTTTTGTTGTTCTGATGAAGAAGGCATTTAGTCATTTTGTCTTATAAGTAAAGCTTTACTATACTGTTCTACAAATTGTGTCTTATTCATTGATTTATATTACAGCATTAAATGTCCAGAACTGACCTAGAAGAAACTAACTTGAAATATTTTTTAATTAATTTTTGCTGGTCCTGAAAGCACTCCTCTCCATACTGTCCAGTAGACTGACCAAATTAAATTTGTTAGTGGATTCATCCTACATGGCTAGTAAGTGAACAGCTACAAACATGCACTTCTTCATACCAGAAATTTGTCTTCTCATATTATGAATATCGAGGCTGATTCAATGCAAAAGGCCCACTAACATCAAATATGACCTGAACTTTTTATTTTCATAACCAATTTGTGGTATAATATTTAAGTTCTTGTTAAAGTAAAATAAGATCTTGCCCCACCCCCATCGTTTCCTTACATGTTTGGGTCCTCTGTCTCCAGACCTTCAATGAACACTTTGGCCTCTTCTGTAGTGCGAGGGATGTCACTCTTAAATGGATAAACATGAACTGGTCCACCATTGGCAGGGAGGGCAGGAAACAGAACTCTAGGAGAGGAATAAGAAAGAAAGAAATTGCTGGCTTTATTGGATTCTATTCAGTGGTCGTAAAATGTCCAACAATGAAATGTCCACCAATAAAATGTGCGACAGTCAAATGTCCAAAAATGAAATGTCCAACAATGAAATGTCCATCACAAGTGTGGCTAAAAAGTGTAAATATCATGAACCAGCATCTCCAATGGTGAGTTTTGTGCCAGTATCCTTAAAAATTCTACTAGAGTTGTTCAGAGATGGATACACCATAAAGTCTTCCTTTTTCCCTTTTAAATGTTAGCAAGGCAAAGAAACTGAGCAGAAGTGTAAAAATGCCTCCAGCCTTCAAACCCCTAGTGCATAATTTCCTCATCACCACCAGTAACAGAAACATTGCAAATTCCATCTACATGCAAAGGAGCCAAAATGATCAATAAATTGATCGTGGGTCCTTAAGATATAGAAGAAGAAGAAAAAGAAGAAATGTCCTAACAAAATAATGCTGCCTTCTTTCTCAGCACTGCACTCTAACCACTAACTTTAAATGTGCCATCATTCTAACTCCCATCTTTTCTGGCACAGCACTCTAGCCACTAAGAGTTTATCTGTCTTGTATTAATATGGCATTTTTATCTAGCATCCTCATTGGGTTCTCCAAGACACCATCCATAAACACTGGGTTATTCAAGAAAATAACCATAAGATATGGGCTCTTCAAGACAATATCGATAAACATGGGGTTCTTCAAGACAACATCCATATACACAGGATTATTTAAAACAACGTCCTTAAACAATGGATTATTCAAGACAACATCCATAAAAACACTGGGTTCTTCAAGACAGCATCCATAAATACTGGATTATTCAATACATCCATAAACACAGGGTTCTTCAAGAAAACATCCATAAACACTGGGTTCTTCAAGACAACATCCATAAACACTGGGTTCTTCAAGACAACATCCATAAACACTGGTTTCTTCACCTGACAACATCCATAAACACTGGTTACTTCACCTGACAACATCCATAAACACTTGTTTCTTCAAGACAACATCCATAAACACTGAGTTCTTCAAGAGAACATCCATAAACACTGGTTACTTCACCTGACAACATCCACAAACACTGGATAATTCAAGACAACATCCATAAACACTGGCGTTCTTCACCTGACAACTTTGTACATCCTCCTGATGTAGGACTTGACTTCTTGCACAGCATGATGGAGCAATCGGGGGTGGGCGCCAACACCGATGTAAGAAGCCCGGAAAACGTCCACCAGGGTTTCCATGAGCTGACCCAGTGGGTGGTGGACAGTGTCGAAAGCCTGAGGGGATACCAAGGTCATTTAAAGAGCGTTTTGTTTAACAGAGGATCAGGTAGTGACCGGCATCATAGGAAAAAGCATGGATTGTTATTTGTTGTCAAGCTGTACTGACACTTTTACCAAGCTCCATCTATGCTCCAACTGCATACAGCCACGTACAATATCCAATTTTAGGTGAAGCTCTTTATAATCAAATAGTTTAAACTGAGGTGAAGTGTATACAATACAATAATCTATTTCAAATTGATGTGAAGTTCTATATAATCATCTCATTCAAGCTGAGGTGAAATTTTATGTAGTCACATAGATCAAGTGAGGTAAAGTGGTACACAATCATCTCATTCAAGCTGAGGTGAAATTTTATGTAGTCACATAGATCAAGTGAGGTAAAGTGGTACATAATCATCTCATTCGAACTGATGTAAAGTTGTATTTAATCATCTTGTTCAAACTGAGCTCAGTACAGGATCACCTACCCTGGACAGATATGTTGATATGTCACCGACTGTCTCCAGTGTCAGACTCTCTCTTCCATGCTTGGGTATTTTGGCCAGGCCCTCCAGGGTGTTTTGTTGCACCTTAACCTTACTGGGCGAACTGAGATTTCAAACAGAAGTCAAATACACAATAAAACACCATTAAAAAAACAACTTTACAAAGCATTATATTTTTTTTATCATATTCCAGAATTTCATGTGCCACATCGCTAACTAAACTGCAGATTCTGATTTAAAATCGTATACACATCAGCTTTCTCTGCCAGCACATTTCAATATAGTTCTTTGCAATATTTTATTGATAAAATCAGAAAATAGGTTTCACAATGATCACACTGGAAACATGTATTTGATTAGTCATAGAACAGTCCCCAAACTAAAACTTCAGTGATTGTGTGTGTGTATCATGAGTGCAGAACATTGGAAACAATAAAATAACATTTTAAGGACTGAAAGTTATGGATAGCAAAAAGTGTTTTACAATTGTGACATTGAATTGTGATATGTTCTAAGAATGTGACATTGAAAATTGATATGTTCTAAGATTGTGACATTAAACAGTGAAGTGTTCTAAGATTGTGACATTAAATTGTAAAGTGTTCTAAGATTGTGACATTAAATTGTAAAGTGCTCTAAGATTGTGACATTGCATCATGAATTGTTCTAAAATTGTAACATTGCATTGTGAGATGTACAAAATTGTGACATTAAATTGTGCTGTACATTCAAATGTAATGTAAAACTTGTGACAGAGAAAATCATTGTACATTAGCAATTGTGAATGAAGCCTATGTTTTTTTCAATAGCGCATCTGTACATGCATGGAAAATTCTGCCCTCAAAATCCTAGTAACTGATATCCCAGTATCCAGCCCTCAACATCCTAGTAACTGATATCCCAGCATCCAGCCCTCAACATCCTAGTAACTGATATCCCAGCATCCAGCCCTCAACATCCTAGTAACTGATATCCCTGCATCCAGCCCTCAACATCCTAGTAACTGATATCCCTGCATCCAGCCCTCAACATCCTAGTAACTGATATCCCTGCATCCAGCCCTCAACATCCTAGTAACTGATATCCCTGCATCCAGCCCTCAACATCCTAGTAACTGATATCCCTGCATCCAGCCCTCAACATCCTAGTAACTGATATCCCTGCATCCAGCCCTCAACATCCTAGTAACTGATATCCCTGCATCCAGCCCTCAACATCCTAGCAACTGATATCCCTGCATCCAGCCCTCAACATCCTAGCAACTGATATCCCTGCATCCAGCCCTCAACATCCTAGTAACTGATATCCCTGCATCCAGCCCTCAACATCCTAGCAACTGATATCCCTGCATCCAGCCCTCAACATCCTAGTAACTGATATCCCTGCATCCAGCCCTCAACATCCTAGTAACTGATATCCCTGCATCCAGCCCTCAACATCCTAGTAAATGATATCCCAGCATCCAGCCCTCAACATCCTAGTAAATGATATCCCTGCATCCAGCCCTCAACATCCTAGTAAATGATATCCCTGCATCCAGGCCTCAACATGCTAGTAACTGATATCCCCGCCTTACATCCCCGTCTGCTCCTTCAGGGCTTTCCTCCCAGCATTCACCATCACAGCCACGACCTCCCAGGCCTTCTCGGTGTCCACAGTCGGACTGTGACCTTGGATGGCTTGACCTTGACCCAGCACAGCCCAAACATGGGAGAAGATGTCGTCCCACTTGCTGTCAGCAGCCACACACAGCCGACCAAAATATCTGGATCACAACAAGAACAAACAGATCAATTTGGTGATAAAATAGTGTTGTTGTTTTTTTTTTTATTATTTACAAAAAATACATTTTGCTTGTCTCCTCACAGCAGTTTAATCACCTGTTGTAAAATTTAAATGTGTATCTTGTTGAGAATTTGTTGAGAATTTAACAGGCACACACCACTGCCAGGGATCATAGGATCCGGCACACACCACTGCCAGGGATCATGGGATCCTCATTGAAGTATCAAATAAAAATGTTCATTTCATAAACCCACAAAAATCACAATACAAACTGATTTGCTGGTGAAATCTATTGTTAAAGAACCACTGAAAAGCTGAAAAGGGAAAAAAAAAGGGAAGAGGGGGGGGGGGGGGCACGGACAAAACTGCTGAACTTACATACATCTGTTCACAAATTCTGGAATAATTGTCCGGAAATTCTGAAGTCCACAAAAAGCCTATTTATACCCAGGAACTCCCTTAACATCTGTGGAATCAATGCCTATTTATACCCAGGAACTCCCTTAACATCTGTGGAATCAATGCCTATTTATACCCAGGAACTCCCTTAACATCTGTGGAATCAATGCCTATTTATACCCAGGAACTCCCTTAACATCTGTGGAATCAATGCCTATTTATACCCAGGAACTCCCTTAACATCTGTGGAATCAATGCCTATTTATACCCAGGAACTCCCTTAACATCTGTGGAATCAATGCCTATTTATACCCAGGAACTCCCTTAACATCTGTGGAATCAATGCCTATTTATACCCAGGAACTCCCTTAACATCTGTGGAATCAATGCCTATTTATACCCAGGAACTCCCTTAACATCTGTGGCATCAATGATTTATGTTTATTTCAGAGGGCTTTAAAAGGACCAGACTGCAATGTTTGGATTGGTTGGCAATGATCATGATACTGTTGCTTTGTGTTTTCACCAATGAAATCACTAGATAGCGCACTAGTTGCAGTAATAATTAATCCACTGTTCGCCTATGTATGTTTCCATGCACGTGATGTAATTATTGTGCTTGTCTATGCTAGTGGTTCTCAAAATGTCTAGATTTTTGGCCGGCATATGAGAAAAGGTTTTCTCCAGGTGCCCCATGGCAAAGTCTAACAAGTATACTTTGAAACAGCGAATGTTTTTTTTTTTTTATTATTAAATGGTTGGTTGAAAATAAATTAAAGATGGATGTAGGCCACTAACGGCCATCTAGTAACCATTTGCAAGAGCTACTGCAACCATTAATTGCTCAACTGTATTATTTCTTTGCACCAGCCAGGTCATCTAGATGTCATTATATGTCATTTAACATTGAACAAATATGAACATGGATGGCCCCTTGGATACTACACCTTCATGAAACTGTCATATTTTTGTGAACTATGAAACATTTGGTTGTTTAGCGAGAGCACAATGTTATCAACATTAATGTAGAGAGAAGTCTGCCACTGAACCTGGACTTGATGCCACCAGCGTGCTGCGTGCAGCCATCGTTGTCAGGCGCGGTGGAAGATTTGGTGAAAGTCCCATTTATCTTGAGGCCGTCATTCAGTGAGCCGGTGAAGTTTCCCTCCAGTCTGTCACCAGAGGGTAATGTCAGGGTGCCCTTTGAAAGGTCAACATTAAATTATGCAAAATTATTTTCATTACTTCCATCTAAAAATTTCTCAGCAAATCTTTATTTTTTTCTAGAAAACTTTTCAAACATTTTACCTCACTATTTGCCACAACCGTTGCACATTGTTGATGTTGTGTGTCTCAGTGCCATTGGTTAACATGCTCGAATTCACCGAAGGTTTTATTCAAAGCTCTAATAAACTATCTAGGTGGAAAGGACTCCTAAATCAAGTCAGCCAACATTGGAGTAGGACCTAACCATAATCTACATAGCGCTATGACCAAACCTATATAGGACTATGACCTAACCTACATAGGACTAGGACCTAGAAATATGACTAAGCCTACATAAGACTAGGACCTAGAAATATGACTTAACCTACATAAGACTAGGACTTAACCTGCAAAGGAATATGACCTAACCTACACAGGACTAGGGGTGGATTAGAAGTCGTCTGCCATCCACACTCTCACGGCAAAAATATTTTCAAAATTTTATTATGAATTTCTTTTTAAAAACACTACTATTATTATCATGGTACTCCTGAAAGTGCAGCCATTGTTTTGTTTTTCCTGGAACTGCTACATCAGAGAGAAAAACTATTAATTAAACATTCACAAAAAAGAATAAGCAAAATGGAAGACTCACCTTGCCAGAGAGATATGACGTACCAACAAAGTCGCCCTCGTATAATGTGTTGTCATCAGAGATCATCACACCAAAGCCCTGGAACGTTGGATCAAGGGGGGAAGAAATGTTGAAAGATTTTATTTTTTTACTGACATATTTCTTGGAGAGTGATGGTGTACTATGTGGGTGTGATGATGTACTGAAATATTACATTAGTAAATGGCATCAGGGGGCCGTCGAGCCAAGGCTCTTTATGCTCTCGCCCAAAGCACCTCTCCTCAGCCGGCGTATCAGGCACGTTGGAGATGTCCCTTTGCCAGGACAGCCCCCACCCAAGTCTGCTTGATTGGAGATGTCCCTTTGCCAGGACAGCCCCCACCCGAGTCTGCTTGATTGGAGATGTCCCTTTGCCAGGACAGCCCCCACCCAAGTCTGCTTGATTGGAGATGTCCCTTTGCCAGGACAGCCCCCACCCAAGTCTGCTTGATTGCATTCCGCTGGAGGCCGCCCCAACCCAAGGACACCTGGTTGGTCTGACAATATGGGTACACACAGTGCACTCGATCAAATTTCCTAGGAGTCGGGATGGTAAATTAACATATAAATATCTTTCCCCACCCATCCCGGGGAAGCGTCTGATACTCTTTAAGAGGGATTCTACGGTGGGTTTCCACTCCGCAACTAGTTTGTGAAGTAGCTGGGTGAAACAGCTGCCTGGGAGCAGCTTTCTCTAGCTGCGTAGCTAGAATCATCGCCTAGTAACTTCCACTTTAGTCTCTTGTCTCACATCCATTAGCTGCAACTTGTAATTATGGTCCCTACCATGTCTCTGCCTTTACTTCCAACTGTAAAAAGTCACAGTTGGCAGCCCTGTAGGTGCTGTTTGTATTCCGGCAGATACCATGCATGTCTCTTCAATGGTGGTCTTGTTCCCCGGGTAATGTCAAAGGGTCCAGTGGCCGACGCCTCCTTATCGGCGAGCCACCACAGGCTTGTCAACCGGAGCCCCAGGGGAGTTATGATGTACTATGTGGGAGTGATGGTGTACTGTACTATATGGGTGTAATGATGTTCTATATAGCTGTGATGATGTACTATGTGGGAGTGATGGTGTAATATGTGTGTTGATGATGTACTATGTGGGAGTGATGGTGTAATATGTGGGGTTGATGATGTACTATGTGGGAGTGATGGTGTAATATGTGGGGTTGATGATGTACTATGTTGGAGTGATGGTGTAATATGTGGGGTTGATGATGTACTATGTGTGAGTGATGGTGTAATATGTGGGGTTGATGATGTACTATGTGGGAGTGATGGTGTAATATGTGGGGTTGATGATGTACTATGTTGGAGTGATGGTGTAATATGTGGGGTTGATGATGTACTATGTGAAAGTGATGGTGTAACATGTGGGAGTGGTGATATACTATGTGGAGCAAGCATTACAATAAAAACAAATCAGCTGTTGCATTAGGTACATCTGGTGACACAGATGTCATGGGACAGTACGTTAGATGACCAAGAAAGACTTGAAACAGCAGCTAACAGAATAATTCATATAGACTTGAATCAGCAACTTGAGCATTCTTTAAAGTAAACTGATGAAAACAGATTAAGTCAAAATGCCTGCTGTTATAGAGTTCAACTGGCTTCCAGACTGAGAAGACTCACCGCCACAATGGGGCAGCAAGTCCCTCAACAGCTATTGTATTATAACCAACACTGCACTCACTGTAAGTTTATTCTGTACAAACGTCCCTTCAAAGTACATCCCATCCAGTGTGACCATCACACCGTTACCATGGCGATTGTCCTCTGCCCACATCCCCATGTACTTTTCACCTGAACAACAACAAAAAAAATGTGCTACAATTTCAAAGATGCAAATTTATGTGAATAAAAAAAGAGCAATCATGAACAAATGCTGAAGACTACAGCCACTTTTGAAACTCATTAGAAAACTTATTTTAGTGATAGTGAAGTATGTGTGACAGTGAAGTAAGTGTGACAGTGAAGTAAGGGTAATAGTGAAGTAAGAAAGACAGTGTAGTACATCTGACAGTGAAGTAAGGGTGATAGTAAAGTAAAGGTGCAGTTGAGTAAGTGTGACAGGGAAGTAAGCCTGTCCTAGTACTTCCTGCCACTCAGACCTAACTAATGCGTTTCTTTTCCATGCACAAGCACACAATACACCGAGCCTACTCATTTTGTGACACACTGCGCTAATATCCTGTTCAAACTTATTTCTCAACAAAGACACATGGAGCCTACTCATCTTGTGACCATGCCCTGCAGTTGTTAATGGTTGCCTAGAAGAATATTTTGAACTACCTTTGAGAATATCATCTTGTACACCATAGCCTTCCTTGACATTACACAACCATTCTCCTATGTAAACCGAGGCACATCTGGACTTCTGGCCGCCAGTTTGGAGCATTCCGTGGCCAAATCTCTGGCCATCTTGGAAGTATCCCTCATACACATCCCCGTTAGCATAGCTGTTGAATTAGAATTGTATGTTCCATCAAAGGGTGTAAATAATATGGCTTTTACTAAATTATGGTACATATGATTAGCTATTTTTTTAAACAAAAATACTACCTCCAACACAGTGCTAGTGTAAACATTATATGTGCTCATAGAAGTGCTGCACCACAGATGAGACATACTTAAGGATTTAGTATCATAATGTGCATTTATGACCATTTATGAGATATTTGCACTCGGCTGAATGGTAAACACACATGGCAGTTTTAGGTTAAGCTGTAGTGTAACACACACAGACCCTACCAACAGCCCAAGTTATTTAATCAGTTAATTTTGTATTGGTTCTTCTGGAATAGATTTGTGTTTTTTTAATAATGGTGAAAATATGTTACACATTCTTTCAGATGGTAATGAAACTGTTGCTTTCATGCAGCAAATATTTAGCTTTAGACAACGAATGTTGACTTTTGACATTTATTGACCTTTCTAGATCATTCTACACACAACATCTCTTGTGAACTGGATTGTTGTGAGTGTTTGGTAGGGGGGAGTTGTTAGTCGTGAATTTTTTTTGTGAGTTGTAAGTCGCGAGGTCAGATGGTGTAGCTGGTTCATGGTGTTGGGTTAGTGTGTGCTGAGTGTTTTGTTATGTAGGGATATAAAAGGCAGTGTGACAGTGTGTTAATTGATCGTTAGAGCCGAGAGAGTCAAGAGTCCAGAGTAGATCGTCGAGTTAGAGTCGAGAGAGTGTGCACAGTGATCTAGAGAGAGAGATTGAGCCAGACAGAGAGAGAGAATATTTTCGTTAGATTCGCTGTGGGGCTTTTGCCTGAGGATAATGTACCAAGTGGGTGTTTTAGTTCTGTAAAAATAAACCCATGATGTACAATGGACCTTTTAGTGTTATTGAATCACACTAGTCCGTGTTGTGACCAAGGAAGATTTGCCATCTGAATATTAGACATCGGAATAGTTGCCATAGAAATAATTGCCATCATCATAAGATATTAGACCAGGCGGAATATTTAACATTTGGTGAAGACCAATGAAAGAAGGTTGTAACAACATCCTTTGAGTACTGCTGTATTTAACTTAATGCAAAAATCTCAAAATTCTTTATTCCTGTTCTCACAATAGGAACAATCAAACAATATATGGTGCAAGCTGAAACTAACATGGGAAACCATCAATTCACAATGCAAATTCTCAGTGATAATTATCTGAAAAAACATTTAAAGAACACAACAACTCTACAAGAGAGCAAAGGTAAACTAATTAAAACATTGTACAAGTGTCAGTACCTGATGGTGCCGCGTCCATTCAGTTTCCCATCCTTCCAGTTTCCTTTCTGAATCTCTTTGCCAGAACTCTTGACATTAGTTAACACACCAGAGCTGGCAAATAGTAAGATAAATGTTTAACATTAGTTAGCACACCAAGAGCTGGCAAATAGTAAGATAAATGTTTAACATTAGTTAACACACCAGAGCTGGCAAATAGTAAGATAAATGTTTAGCATTAGTTAGCACACCAGAGCTGGCAAATAGTAAGATAAATGTTTAGCATTAGTTAGCACACCAGAGCTGGCAAATAGTAAGATAAATGTTTAGCATTAGTTAGCACACCAGAGCTGGCAAATAGTAAGATAAATGTTTAGCATTAGTTAGCACACCAGAGCTGGCAAATAGTAAGTTAAATGTTTGACATTAGTTAGCACACCAGAGCTGGCAAATAGTAAGATAAATGTTTATTTACAGTTTCAAATTTTATGGAGAATAGAAATGAAAGATTATTACTGTTTTTTTTTATATTATCACAAATTTTTCATAAGAATCTCGACCAGAGTTAATTGCAGTTAGTACAATAAATCATTACAATTGTTTGTGTATACAGCAGTTGACAACCAACATTCTCTCAAAGCTGTTGTGCTGGTGTAAGAGAAAAAGCACAAAACAGACTATTCTTTTTCTCTGCCAAAAAATTTATTACAACTCACTCCAGTACTAATTAATTGCTTTTATTTCTCTCTTAAGAAAGCTCACATAGGTTTTCAGTCTGTGAGAAACTAAGATTGCAATAAATAAACTATTTTCTTGCAGTCTGTGAGCAGCTCACATAAGAATTCAGTAAACTAATTTCTTGCATTCTCATCTGTGAGCAATTGTGTCAGCAAAATATTCTACTTACCCATGCATAAGACCTCTCATGAAATTCCCTTCATACACAGAACCGTCTGACCACTTCAGAGTCCCTCTGATCATCAGAAAGTCGGACATAGATTCATGAGTGTACAAATTAAACTTGAAATGATATTTGGTTAAAGCTACAGAAATTAACTGACTAGTCACACAAAAATTAACTGTCTATTTACAAACTTGAGTGTTAAATTGTAAACAGCCAATGCTGATTTCTTAATGTGCCCAGGACATGTGCCTTTCTTAAATGGCTCAGTAAGGTCATCTTTTTTTATTCCTGATGTATCTTATAACAGTGTCAGACAAAAGCTAATTATCCTTTATGAACTTAACACACAAAAGCCACCTGCATTGTATGAGTTTTACCATGAATGCCACCTACCCTCAATGTATGATCCCACAAACACCACATTCCCTGAATAAAATTTCCCCTCACATGCCACCATGTATTTTCTCCCACAAGCCACCTTCCCACCATGAATTCCCCCCCCAGCCACCTTCCCACCATGTATTCCCCCCCAGCCACCTTCCACCATGTATTACCCTCCCCCAAGCCAACTACCCTCCATGTCTTTTCCCCCACAAGCCAACAACCCTCCATGCATTTTTACAAAAACCACCTTTCCTGAATGAACTTTCCAAGGAAAGCCACCTACCTTCCATGTATTTTGCCAGAGAACCAAGTTCCGTCGTAGGAAGCCTCTCTGTAGAGTCCTGGCCTGATGAACTTGTGCTTGGCGTGACGCACCAAAGGTGGGGTGAAACGTTCCCCTGCGCTGTAGGGAGATCTCTGAGGTGACAGGTGCTTGCTGATGGCAGAGTTGAGGGCTATCAGCCATTCAGCCTGTCAGGGGCGGCAATAGATAGTCATCAGTTACATGTTACTCAATGTTTGCCGATGGCAGAGTTGAGGGCTATCAGCCATTCAGCCTGTCAGGGGCGGCAATAGATAGTCATCAGTTACATGTTATTCAATGTTTGCTGATGGCAGAGTTGAGGGCTATCAGCCATTCAGCCTGTCAGGGCGGCAATAGATAGTCAACAGTTACATGTTACTCAATGTTTGCCGATGACCATTCAGCATGTCAGGGGCAGCAATGCTTTGCAGCTGTTACATGTTACTCAGTGTTACAGGGGAGAACATGACAAGAAACTGAACTATATCATGGAACAGAAACAGTGATTATTTCAGCTTTACACAAAGGGGGGGGGGGGGGGAATCAAAATCAAAAAAAATGGGGGGGGGGGGAGGGAATCAACATGAAAACAAAATTAAGAAATGTTAAAAGCAAATGAACAAGAAACAATACTAGGGGAAGACTGATTTTTTTATCAAAACTAATTCTATTTCTTCTACTACATTGCCCATTGATGTTTTCAGTAATTTGTTAAAAAGCACACACAAAGACAGTTTTAACAAAAATTTGAACCATTTTAACAAGCATATATATTACATTAACTTCATTTTCAAAAATTAAAACTAACCATCACCTTACTACCGCCGCTAGCGATAAGGTCTCAACACAACGGTTTAGAAATATGAAATGTATTGTTTTACATTCATTTAACAGAAAGCCACCCACCCTATTACTGAAATATAAACAGAATCTGTTACATCCGATATGATAACAAATCTTTAGATCTTCGGGAGTTGATAGTTTATGTTCAGCCTACCTTTTGTGCTGGTGTTGTGGCCTGAAGATCATATCTTTCTTCCGGTGCTATTATGGTGATGGCATTGCTGTGGAGAGGAATTTTCAAATTACAAAGTTAAAATTTAAGCTTGTATAATCTACACATCTTTAACGCATAATGAAAGAGCTTAAGCTTTGAAATGAAATGGCTTTGTTCAGGTTTTAAAAAAAAAAAAATAGTTGTTTTTGTGTTTATCAAATTTCAGACCGTCTGACTTCAGTACTTTTATATTTTATTAGTAATTTTTTGTTGTGTATTTTACAATAAATAACCAAATTACGCAGCTAATAGTCTGAAGTAAAATTAATGTTTGACTGCAGTCAAGCTCAAAGTATTAAATACACAAAAATATAATGAAGTGGGGTGAATCTGTGGTTACATGAATGTACAGAAACTATCATTTTTATTTTTCTTATCCTTATTCTTATCATTCTTATATTTTTACTTATCATTTTTATCCTAGAATGAACAAGAAGTAAAAGAAATGTAATATTAGAAACAATTAAAACAAGACACATGTCCCTAAACCTGCCGGTGAACAAATTGAACAATTTTAGATGGAAGACTTGATTATTTTAATGGCAACGACTGGGAAAATAGAACTCCAGGCACTTTTAAATCATGGACATGGTTGATGATACCGTAAGGTTTCAAGGTTCCAGATATGTAGCAAACTCTGTCTCTCATTATTAAATTCAGTTAGTTATCTGGGCAATTCAACTCTGATTACAAGTCAGAGTTGTAGAGTTATTTAACCCTGTCTGATTCTCAGTGCAGGGCGGGCGACATTAACAGTTCTGGCGGGATAGTCTTGTAAAAGATACGGGTGGATGTTGTTATCCAATCGGTTACAGAAGTGACTTACGGATTTTCTGTTTCTGTTGTTCCAGGCTCCACCCAGAGTGTCTCCAAGGGCAACACAGTTAAGCCAGTGCTCTAAATATACAAGGGATACAGAATTAGGCCAGTTCTATAAATTCACAAGAATACGTTCTTTTCACTAATATAAAATAATTTTTATCAAGCAATTTTTTAAACTCAATGTTTTATTTAGGTCATTAGTCTTTGGTAGCTACTAATAGGGGTTCCTTAGGTCCTGTGATGTTTTACTGCACTTTAAGATATTCAATCTGTCAACAAACAAAGCTGCCCATAATACATGAAACTAGGACATCAAATCTCAAACTAGTTGACCCTAGCTTAGGGAAATTCCAGAATAAGGCATGAAAATGCCCATCAAAGCTCTGTGCAAGGGAAATACATGATAATACCTTTAAGCTTGTTTGATATGGGAGATTTTGGATGGTAAACAAAACTGCCAGTTCCTTGAATTTTTACCTGTCATCATACGTTTACAGTCCGTCATGCTAACTAAGGTAACTAGGTGGGGATGTCATTGAAAATATGACAAATATAGATGTACACCATAAAGCCACTTTTGACATTTGAATAGATGACAAGCTGTAGACTGCGTCAAATGACAAGTATTCTGGTAGAGCGCAAGGTATAAAAGTTTTTGTCATCCTGAATTCTGACGGTAAAATACAATTAAAAAACCTTTTAAGGAAAACGGATGTATTTCATTGAGATGATTATTTGAAAATTTTGTTACAGAAATGTAGACATTGTGTTTCTCACTTATGAGCAAGTACATCAATACATAGCAGACAAACCAGCAGCAATCAGTTATAGCCACCTTAGCAGTGTTGAAACCGCCGGGATGATGCGAAAATATTTTCTTAGTTTGGAGGACACTAGGGTTAAGGGCATTCAGAGGTTACCTGTGTGCAGGAAGACTTCATTTAACCACTTCATTACCGATGACATCGACACGACGTCACGGTCACCCACTTTCAATTACCAAGGATGTCACATTGTCGTCATAACAAAAAGTTAAAGAACTTTTCTGAAATACCAAGGACGTCACATCGACGTCAAATTTCAATGCTATATATTTCCTTATTCGTTAATCTATATAGAAGTTTTTTATGGCTGATTCATCAAAAACCGATGCCAAAACCCTGCGGTACTGAAGGGGTTAACAGACAGCTTACCTGTATGTGCAGGAAGACATCATTGAACAGTACAAACAGGCGATTGGAGAAGCGCCCTCCTGCTGGCCAGTGCAGGGGGTAGGACTTACTCTCCCTCAGCAGGCGACGGTCAGGTGTCCTCATTGTGTCCTAGAAATACGATGGAATTTCTCATTATCAAAGTATTTCTTGACCTGGGATCAGCAAAAGTTTTATAAGCCTATTCATAAATGTATCTTTTGGGTATGTTGTATAATTTATGGTTTAATTAGACATATTTAGAATTTATACGACTCCAAGATTAAATAGAAAATCTACGTATTGCATTACAATTTGTCCAGTAAAGAAAGTCTCAATTTTCAGTATATAACAATAATTTTTTTTGCCAACTAATTTTCTCTCAAATTTGAGGACTAGAAAAAAAAAATTACGACAAAACAATTACTAACAATTTTCTGATCTCTACAATAGCATGATCAGAACAGTCATCGGAAAATTGAAGGAAATAGTAGATCAGAAAAACTGAAGGAAATAGTAGATCAGAAAATTGAAGGAAATAGTAGATCAGACAATTAAAGGAAATAGTAGAATGGAAAATTGAAGGAAATAGTAGATCAGACAATTAAAGGAAATAGTAGAATGGAAAATTGAAGGAAATAGTAGATCAGACAATTAAAGGAAATAGTAGAATGGAAAATTGAAGGAAATAAAAGATCAGAAAACTGAAGAGGAATTCGCCAGAAATAAAGGATGAACTCACAGCGACTTTCGGGTTTGTTACTTCCCAGAATGCCCTCGTCAACTCTGCCACTTTATGCTCAGCAGAGAAACTCACTTTGATGCCGTCCCATTCCAGTATCACATTCTGGAAGAAATTCTTCATTTCTTGTTTCTAACAGAAAACAACCGCTTTTATTAGTTTTAGTTTTTTTATATATATATATATTATATATACACATGCACAAACATTTTTAAAACAGAAATTTCCAGTGGCATTAGAAAATTTTTGGTAACGATGTATGCTGTCATACATGAATAGCAACAGCAGTTCATCGGCAAGGTAGGTACATTTTTGATATTACTGAGAACCCTTGTGCTAAGTATTAAATCTTGTGACTCATTGATATGTAAGCAATTCTAACTAACAATGCCCGCCAGAACTCAACAGAATTTTATACTCAAGGTTTTGTAAAATAACTAATGTATATGGTCCAAAAATTAATTGTATTGTTTGATCTTTGCCATGATGCATGCTTGATGTCTGTGTTGTTTCATGATAAAAATATGTCTGACCTACAAAACAACTTATCAACTACAAAAAACAGAAAAAAAATTAACTGGAGTAAGTTCTAAAATAACATAATCTGTGCTTAGGTGGTTGATAAGCACTGTGTTTTAGAACATTGAGAACGTGTGGTTGATAAGCACTGTGTTTTAGAACATTGAGAACGTGTGGTTGATAAGCACTGTGTTTTAGAACATTGAGAACGTGTGGTTGAGAAGTACTGCGTTTTAGAAAATTTAGAATCTGTGGTTGAGAAGCACTGTGTTTTAGAGCATTTAGAAAGTGTGGTTGAGAAGCACTGTGTTTTAGAACATTTAGAATCTGTGGTTGAGAAGCACTGTGTTTTAGAGCATTTAGAAAGTGTGGTTGAGAAGCACTGTGTTTTAGAACATTTAGAATCTGTGGTTGAGAAGCACTGTGTTTTAGAACATTTAGAATCTGTGGTTGAGAAGCACTGTGTTTTAGAGCATTTAGAATGTGTGATTGAGAAGAAATGTGTCCCAGCCTAACCCCCTCTCCGCAAACTTGCCACTAATCTAAATATTTTATATTCCTTCCATGTCGCAACTTTGTTAACTACTTGGTACAATTTCAGCAATTTGTGCTGGACAAAAGCTAAATAAAAATTTGAGCTAAATTCAGAATAGATTTTTTCTGCTTATATATAATGTCTTAGATGTTGTGTTGCATGAAATGTATTGTGCATTATCTATAACCCCATACACACCAATGTGTAAAGCTAATCTGTATGATTCTAACCTCCAGAACAGTGGCTATCTTCCCCAAGATTCGACTGTACTCCACAAGCCTGAAGAATGGGTACCTCATTGCTCTCAAGAAGAGGCTGCTGGCCCCCACCGACTTGTCCCGCTCATCTGACAGGTCTCTGATGGAGCCCTGGATCTTCTCAAAGAACTCACTTAAACAATAAGTAGAGAAACATCATGAGAAAGATATGTCAAGATAAAGAAGAAATATGAAAATTGTAACAAAATCTATAACATGACTATAAAAAAAACTTGTGAGTTCCATTAATTTCTGAATGCCAAAATACATGACTTTCCCAATCCGAAGCCATGACAAATGACATTCTTATTGTCATACTAAAAGTAAATCTCCCCCACCTACCCCCTCCGTAATTTGTTCTTTTTATTGCAGCGACATCTAGTGGTTACAAAATATTTTGGTTATGTCCACTTTGTCCTCTAAACATGTATCTTAATCAGTGTGATGCAATAAAAATTGAACATATCATTCATAAGAAAATATTTTATTCTCTACTTTGTTGACATTGAAGCAGTCAGGAGAAAGAGACATAAATATCTTATTCGGAGCCCTTGAAAATAAACAGTACTGCATCATTACTGAGAGGACAGTTCAGAATTACCTTCCTGCTCGCGTGACATAATCAAACCCACCGACAGCCAAGAAGTCAGAAAATCTTCTAGAGTAGTTCCTGAATGCCTCTAGGAATTCAGGGTGGCCAGCCAGAAAGAGGCTCTGGTTCAGAGGAGTGGACTGCTGTATGGTGCTGGTGAGGTCAGTGATTCCTTCCCCAACCTGCCGATAGGGGACACGGATGAATGTAACATTAGGTCCATCTTATGGATGGAAATACAAGGTTAAATGTAACCATATGTCAAACCATGCAGACCTGTTTACTCTTACGATTTTGGCGTACAATGTACGATTTTCAGGTGTATACATTATATATACTGCATGTTTTTTTTTTACTATTAAGATAATGTATTGAAAGATTTTGTGATGATTTTGTACGATTTTAAGAGTTTCAAAGTAAACAGCTCTGACCATGTGTCTATCCAAACAATGTAATATATCTATATATGTATGTTTAGGCTTTATGCTTATATAATTAATTTATATATAGGCCTATATATAATTAGTTTATATGTATATATAATTAGTTTATATGTATATATAATTAGTGTATATGTATATATAATTAGTGTATATGTATATATAATTAGTGTATATGTATATATAATTAGTGTATATGTATATATAATTAGTGTATATGTATATATAATTAGTGTATATGTATATATAATTAGTCTCCCTCTATTATATATAGACTAGTTTGTAACTGTACATGTTTATATTTTAAATTACCTTTTTTGTCAGAGCCAGGAATGTAGAAATCAGATTCTGTAGTGATGACTTGTAGGGATAAACATCCATGGATGTGAAGAAAGCTGGATGGATGGGGGAATGGAAATGACAACTTATGAGCAAACATTTTTGTGAATCCATGCAATGTCTTTTCTGGAGTGTTCTCAAAATAAATTGTGACATCAGATATGACATCAAGATACCGGTGGTCTCAAAATGAAACTGAGACATTTGGGTGCAAATAGTCTCAAGATATAGCTAGGACATTAAGATAAGATAAGATTCTTTTATTGATCTAAATAAATGGAAATGTTTTTGATTGGATTATACATTTTCAGCACAAAAATAAAACAATTTGAACACAAGACATTTATAATAAATTATTTCAAACAGCCATTCAGTGAGTTCTCTTAGCAAAATCGGGACTTATTAGTTCTCATTCAGATGTGTGACTTCAGAGGAAGCACGCCGGTAAATTCATACAGATTGGGGAACAAAAGAATTTTTATATCTGTCAGTCCTCGCCCTGATGGAAAGAATTCGTACCCAATGGCCCGATCCTAAGTATCTGTGATGAAGAGGGTGGGATGTATCATCCAAAATGTGTTTAGTTTTACAAAAATATCTTTCTTCAAATAGTTCTTCAAGTGAAGGATGTTTAGTTTGTGTTATGTTCCTAGCTTTCTTGATTAGTCGATTTATGCGGTGTTTAATATCAGATGTTGAATTCCCACACCAGCAGGTAATAATGAAATTAAGCAGGCTTCCAATAGTTGCACTGTAGAATAAGTTAACGACTTGCTTGTTTACGCCGAAATTGTACAGTTTTTTGAGGTAGATCAGTCTTTGGTTGAATTTCTTATACAGCAGATGGCCGTGCTCATGCCATGTTAGCTTATTATTAATGGTGACACCTAAGTACTTGTATGCCTCCACTTTCTCTACACTTTGATTTTTTTATGTTGAGATCTGTAATCTGGTGTTTCCCCCTCCTGAAATCAACAACCATTTCTTTTGTTTTTGAGACATTCAACTTTAGAAAATTTTCATCGCACCAATTGATAAAGCTTGTATCTAAGTTGCGGTATAAGCCTTCTCCTTCAGATATTAAGCCATTAATGGTGGTATCATCAGTAAATTTTAAGATTGGAACGGTGTCGCTTGAGCTTTGAACATCATTTGTATATATTGTATACAGTACAGGAGAGAGAACACAGCCTTGTGGTGCCCCGGTGCTCTCAAAATGAAACTGTGACATTTGGGTGCAAAAAGTCTCAAGTTATAGCTAGGACAATAAGATACAGGTAATCTCAAAATAAAATGAAACTGAGACATTTGGGTGCAAATAGTCTCAAGATACAACTAAGACAAAATTATACAAGTGATCTCTATATACTACATTGAGATCAACTCACTAGATTTTTGCAGTGGTCTCAGCAGCAAATTTGTTGTCCTAATCAGCTGGTTGTAGAATGACCTCTCAGTGGCGGCCAGCTCAAACACAGCAGCCGTCTCAGGTGGAGCGGGGTTTAGTGTCTTACAGGCACAGCCACTGCCTCCGGCCATGACCTTTGTGACCCATCCATTCTAGGGATTTAGTTGTGAATCAATAATATTGTTGGCATTATTAAAAGTGGTGTTTTATGCACGTCATAATTAACTTAGAACTACGCTTTTCTTAAGAGTATTAAAAAGATAAATCTAATAACTAAAAAAAAATGTTTTATTCTTTTTAAAAAAATTATTCAATATACAAATGACCATTTAGATTTTTTGAAAGGCTATAGTTGAATTTTAATCTTTTGATCATTACACTTGCACCCAGCCTAAATTCAGAAAGCTTTAAGTAAATGTTTAAAATTTCTTAAAAATCAAAATTAAGAAAATTCCAACTAACACTAGGTTTTTATTGAAAAATTGTCATGTAAAAAAATAATAAAAACAGTTTTCATTAAATTGGTTAAATTAAGCATCATTTCATGTCACACTCCAAGAATTTTTAACATTAAATTAAATGTTCATTTTCAGTAGAATTAATTGAATATTTAAATCCATGTAACAATATTATTCTTTATTTTTCAGAAATAGTTCAAATATTCTCTACATAGCTAGAGGCATTTTACAAATCTATCACTCTATACCTCTCCCTGTCTCTCTCTTGATCTTTTAACTCAACCATGATAGTTGTGATGATGTTGTGTCTATAAGTAAGTTTCAGGCTAACCCTAGCACTCACCTGATTTACCTGAGGCAGTGGAACAAGAATATTGGTCTTCTTCATTGAGGCATGTTGCTCTTTACTGTAGGTGACAAATTGATTTAGTTACATTTATATTTTCTGGTACAGTTGCTCTCAACGACAACGACAACAAAAATTATTTTTCCATGCTAAAATAATTTAAAATAAAAAAATTGAAACATTAGGACGTATTTAATGTAGATGTTAAGGAGAAGAAAGATTGTCCAAACTCCTACCTTGGGTGCTTCCCACAGTAAAAGATTTTCGGCTGAGAGTTGGGTGCATCAGGACCATCGCACAGAAACACGGAATGTGCTGAGCCGCCTCCAATGTCCCATGCTGTGAAACCTTTTAGAAACTGATACAGGAAAGTTTCCCCATAATTAATTTAAACATAATTATACAGAAGATGGATGTTACACGCTCATGGGCCCGGTTACACCACTGTTTTACTTTAAGAAATCCTGGGTCTGTCCCAAGTAGGGATGACAATAAATAGTATATGGCCATGTACTGCCACCGTATGTCCCCATGCCTCACATACATAAAGCGCAACCTCTGATACATGTGTCAACAGAACTGATTACCCTTAGTCTTGTGGGTCCGTGTACGGCTTCCATCTGTCCCAACTGGCCATAGCTATTTAATCCCCAGGAAAACACCTGGCAGTTTGAGGTGAGCGCAATGCTGTGGCTGCCACCAGCTGCCAACTTGATCACATGTCTGCCTGAATACGAGATTAGACGTTACACAGAAGATTAGATGTTACTGAAGAGATTAGATGTTACACATGAGATTAGATGTTGCAAATGAGATTAGATGTCGCACATGAGACTGATTGTTACATATGAGATTACATGCTAAAACATTAGATTAGACTCTTAAAATGAGATTACATGCTAAAACATGAGATTAGACACTTAAAATGAGATTACATGCTAAAACATGAGATTAGATTTTACACATGAGATTACACTCTAAAAATAAGATTAGATGCTATAACATGAAATTAGATGCTAAAATATGAGATTAGTACTTAAACAAGAGATTACATGCTAAAATAAGATTAGATCCTAAAACATAAGATTAGATGCTAAAATGAGATTAGATCCTAAAACATAAGATTAGATGCTAAAATGAGATTATATCCTACAACATGAGATTAGTACTAAAACAAGAGATTAGATGTTAAAACATGAGATTAGTACTAAAACATGAGATTAGGTGCTAAAAATGAGTTTAGATGCTAAAACATAAGATTAGATGCTAAAATATGAGATTAGATGTTGCACATGAGATTAGATGTTACACATGAGAATACATGCTAAAAATGAGATTAGATGCTATAACATGAAATTAGATGCTAAAATATGAGATTAGTACTAAAACAAGAGATTACATGCTAAAATAAGATTAGATCCTAAAACATAAGATTAGATGCTAAAATGAGATTATATCCTAAAACATGAGATTAGATGCTAAAACATGAGATTAGATGCTAAAACATAAGATTAGATGCTAAAATGAGATTATATCCTAAAACATGAGATTATATGCTAAAACATGAGATTAGATGCTAAAACATGAGATTAGATGCTAAAACATGAGATTAGTACTAAAACATGAGATTAGATGTTACAACATGAGATTAGTACTAAAACATGAGATTAGGTGCTAAAAATGAGTTTAGATGCTAAAACATAAGATTAAATGCTAAAATATGAGATTAGATGACATTAGATGTTACACATGAGATTAGATATTATATGTGAGATTAGATATTACACATAAGATTAGATTTAAATAATTGCTTGATGTATCATATAACATTCTTTTCTACTAAAGCTTCAGCTAAGAGCATTCTTAAATTTCCTAGTCTGACAATGTATACAACCACACATCTTCATAGCTTCCCAGCCTGATAATGTATAAAACCACACATCTTTCTAGCTTCCCACTCTCACAATATATACAACCACACATCTTAATCACCATCAGAAAATTGAGCTACTATTAAAATTTGAAGTCTCATGGCCTGCTGAATATAACAACACATTGTCAGTCAGCTGCCATTGCCTTGAACCTTGTTTAAAGGGCCTGGATCTCCATAATAATGCATTAACAAGCACCTCAAATGGCCATATTTAACAGTTGTGAAGTGTAATTGGTTAAATATTACAAAAATATCGGGAGAATTCCATTTTTTTTTTAAAAAGACATCATAACTTATGTTGAAGGAGAACACTTGACTTTTCATTACTGATTTTATTCTGTACATTTAGATAACTAGGCCAACCAATACAAAACTTGATATATTCTGTACATTTAGATAACTAGGCCAACCTATACAAAACTTGTTATATTCTGTACATTAAGATAACTAGGCCAACCTATACAAAACTTGATATATTCTGTACATTTAGATACTAGGCCAACCTATACAAAACTTGATATATTCTGTACATTTAGATAACTATGCCAACCTATACAAAACATGATATATTTTGTACATTAAGATAACTATGCTGATAAAACTAGAGGTATTCAGCCCCAATAATTCACAAACAAATTCAGGCATACCTATAAAAAACTTGAGATTGACTGGTGCTGCCCTCTCTAGCTGGTCTCCCAGGCCAAGCTGGCCCTGCTCATTACACCCCCACACCCAGACGTCTGTATTTGTGGCCACCTTGTCGTGGGCCGAAGTGGGGTGTTCTGAAATGGATATCATAATATTTTTGGTACCAACAAATAGGTATGTGCTGGAGACCACCAAATATTGAAGTTTATGTGGAAAAAAAATTAAGTAATTACTGATTTAGCTTTAGGGAAAAGTTTTAACATCAATTTGGGTTCAACAGATTTTAACTCTATTCTGTGGTTACATGTTGCTTTGTGATTTCCCGGAGGCCCCGCCTCTCCCATGGTGCCTTTCTGGTGCACTACAGCCACAGAAATAAAAAAACAGGATTTTGCAAGTTCAGAAAACAATTATTTTACCAGTGACACTGGAAATTCTACTCAAGTTCTTCTGCTGCATTTGTATGGTGCGGATAGACTTGTGGCTTGAATCCCCCGCCAAACTTGCAGGGTCCTCGTCCATGCTAGCCATCTCGCGCGTCCACTCAATAAATGTGCCTGACTTTTGAAAGGATTCATTTTCCCCATGTTCTGGACTCTCTTTTGTTGCTAGAAGAGACACAGTTTAAGAGTGTTGATTTTTATAAATAAAATTGGTCTTCCCAACCCTGATCTAGCGCTTAAATGTTCATCTTTAAAAAAAAATAATTTCTTTTCTAGGAAAAAAAGCTAGCTTGAGAAACCAACCATTAAAATGACCATCACTTAGAACAACTGGTTTGATAAACTTACCATCAGACTGACCACTACTTTGAACAACTATTTTGATAAAATGACCATTGGACTAACCATCACTTAGAACAACTGGTTTGATAAACTGACCATTAGACTGGTTAGCACTCTGAACAACTGGTTGGATAAACTGACCATTAGACTGACCAGCACTCTTAACAACTGGTTTGATAAACTGACCTTTAGACTGACCAGCACTCTGAACAACCGGTTTGACAACTGAGTCACCCTGTGAGGGTTTGAGCTTGGTGTCAGCTGCCCCATGTGTTGCCATAGAGCCCATCTCCATGTTTGCCTTGGCATTTTGAGGAATGGTTTCTTGGTTGGGTTGGTCAGCTGGCACTGTTGTAAATCCAGACAGTGACTGAATGTTGGTGAAAGCTCTGCTGGTCATTGATTTGACCTGGTTCATACAGAAATAGTTGCACAAAAAATAAAAAATTATGCTATCACACTCTGAATGGGTTTTCTTTTAAATAAATGTTTGTTTAAACTTTATCATAATTTGTGACATACTTCGCGCTGAGCTAAAATTGGATACACATCTTAGTTTTGGGAGACAAATATTTATTCCATTTAAATTCAAAAGGTCATCAAAGACCTTTCCATAACAGACTTTAAAAACAATTAAACTTTAAACCAAAAATGAAATTGTGGTAAATTATGTGTATTCGTTCGTAACAACAGAGAGTACGGGAGTGCTGGGAATGTTACATTTCTTAAGCTAAGCTCAGACCTGCCAACCTGCCAAGAAAAAAAATATGTAGGGGGGTGCGCGGGGGGGGGGGGGGTATTGGTTTGAAATCTACATACTAATGCACATGCTTTTTTAGTAAATAAAGAGAAATAAAGTTACCTCCATTGTCTTCGAAGAGTCCACAGAACACCACAGAACACCACAGGACACCACAGGACACCACAGGACACCACAGAACACCACAGAACACCACAAGACATAATATCCACAGAACACCACAGAACACCACAAGACATAATATAAAAAACATTACTGTAAAAATGTATAGACAGATGTAAACTATACGGAGCAGAATATCCATTTTATTTACATATAAATGTAGACAGGCTGCTATGAGTTCAGTTTTCCAGCATATCCCTAGTGGCCTTTTTGCATTTGTCCAACCGCTCTTTGGACAACTGAAGGTTAGCATTGCAATTGATTTTAGCTACAAGCAAGTTAGGAAGAGTATCAACTTTCATGCTTGCCCTTGTTTCATAGTAATTTTTCTCCACAATTTTCTAGCAATCTGCGAGTCTGGAAACATTTCTTTGACAAAAATCTGTATCATTCCGAGAAAATCGTAAGGGTTGGCAGGTCTGTAAGCTTATGTGCAAACAAAGGGTTACACCTAAAAAATATGTAACATCTTTTTAAAAGTATTTGTTAGGAAGGGAGGGTCAAAATATATCAACTGTTTTCACCTGGGCCATCATATCGAACATATTGCCAAGAGATGTTTGGGATTTCTCTCTCTTTGGAACATCATCTGATGTTGATGGAGCATTGCCCGCCTCTGTCACTTCCTCTTCAAACTGCCGCTGTAGGTACATCGAGGCCTCTGACTGGTTGAGCAGATTCAGGGACTTGACACTCACTGTAGAGGGAGATCTTGTTTTTGGCTTTGCATACAGTTTGTTAAGTTCTGAGTAAAGAAATATGGCAGAGTTCAGATGAGGAGCCTTAACAACTTTTAGAAACTTCTGAGGCACTGATACACAGTCAGAGCCAATCTGGCAAATCATGTTGGAATATTTTATACATGCATCAGTATACATAATGAGCTTTAGTAGAGACAGGGAAGAAATGTACTTGTTCTAGCATATGTTCTTTGTGGTTGTTTACCAACCATCTTTGTTCTAGCATGTTTTTTGTTGTTGTTTACCAACCATCTTTGTTCTAGCATATGTTTTTTGTGGTTGTTTACCAACCATCTTTGTTCTAGCATAGGTTCATTGCGGTTGGTTACCAGCCATCTTCGTTCTAGCATTTGTTCATTGTGTTTGGTTACAAACCAACATTTCGTTGGATGAAATTTTTTGCAAAACCACTTTAAACAAAATTACTTTTTAAAAAAAACTTAAGAAACAACATATGAACAGCAGTACACAATTATTACAGAAAGGTTTAAATAAATTATTTATTTCTCAACCAATTTCTGGTTTTCTGATTACTTCTAATATAAAAAAATTAATTTAAAATAAGTACAGTTTCAACAAAAAAAAATGTATTCTATAAATTGCACAGTCTTTAAAAAAAAGTCTGTGTCACTAAACATATATTTAAATATATCTAACCTTCCTCAACTTCCTCGGAATCAGAACGTCTTTTCCAAACCTCATCATCAGATCCACCGTGACCCACTGCCCTAACATTAACGGTTTCATCGCTAGTCTCTTCATTTACTGTAGAGGAACTCGGCACTGGTGGAGGCGATTGGACATCGTTATCACCTCCTTCAACTGGATGCCCTTGAGGTTCTTCAACTTCCTTGATAGCTGTCAGATTAACGCTGTCATCAAATGGGTTGTCACCAGACACGACCAGCACACTTGTGTCGCATGCAGATGTTTCTAGAAAACTTGTTTCTCCCACCAACCCACCAGAGGATGTCTCAGGGTTAAGGTTACTACTTTCTGGCCGCTGCTCAGGTTGCAGATTTGAATCTGAAGTTTCTCCTTCTGGCGTCTGTTTGAGTTCTGACGTCTGTTTGAGTTCTGACGTCTGTTTGAGTTCTGACGTCTGTTTGAGTTCTGCTGGATGTTCAGAAATGGTTTGATTTCGTCCTTCTCCAGTCGTATCTATTCCCTTAGGGTTTTCTTCCTCTCCCAGGGGAGACACTGGAGATGATTTTTTCAAAGCTTCATTGGACGAACTGGACAATGAAACATCATCAACAATGGTGGAGTCAACACTGGTCATACCATCGTTGATGGTACAATCGTGCAGAGTGTCAATGATGCACATATCATTTGTGTCTGTGTAGGTGTATATTTCTTTCTGGCATGTGCTGCACCGAGACGGGTACAGCTTGTCTTCCTGCACATCTTTGGCTTCTGTCTTGCCATTCGTTTTCATAGGAGATGATCTCGGAGTCCCTGCCCTCGAGGGGGATTTCTCCCCTCTCGCTACCAGCACCATGCTGTGTTTATCCCCGCAGCAGACGGCCATGGTGATAAGGCCTTTCAGCGTGTCCACTCTTCGTGGTAAAGGTGCATGCTTAAGTTCCCCAAGGCCAAGTTGTGGTCCTGCACCCCATGCCCAGACATCTCCTTCTGCAATTACAATTTTAATAGTATAATAATAATAATAATAGTAATACACTGGTCTTATATAGCGAGGTACCCCAGCCTAGGTTACCTTTAAAATCTTTAGTCATTGCCTACATTCAAAATGCCCATTTTTAAATATATGTGATATTAGTTAATTTGTTATATTATAATCTCAAAGCAAAATAAAATTATTATAATCACTCTATAATATTACTCTAAGATATGATCCATTACAACATCAGACCGACCATTGTTTACTATGATGATTTATCATCAGTATCCACATATCCAATAATTACAGCTGCTCGAAGAGATGATTAAATTTTTATTTTATAACTTCAAATCAATAAATCGATTTTAAGTTAGATTAAACTAGTATAACCCACATCATAAAAACCAGTTAGTTGGTACTTCCTTAACCAGTCTAACCCACGTCATAAAATCAGGTTAATTGGTAATTCCTTAACCTGTCTAATCCACGTCATAAAATCAGGTTAGTTGTTAATTCCTTAACCAGTCTAATCCACGCCATAAAATCAGATTAGTTGGTAATTCCTTAACCAGTCTAATCCACGTCATAAAATCAGGTTAGTTGTAAAGTCCTTAACTAGTCTAATCCAAGTCATAAAATCTAGAGGCCCACTTTAACTAAAGATCCTGGATCTATATTTAGTTTATGCTACATTAACAAACAAGGTTAATTTCTAAAAACGTAATGACAAGAGTTTGTTTTATTATTTTTTTAAAAAGGTTATGCTAACTCATTACATACAAAAACATTTGACAGTACCGTATGAAATGGCAAGTGTATGACTCGTGCCACATGAGGCTGTTTTCACAGATACTGGGATGGGAGGTTTGGGTACGCCGTGAGCACAGAAGCCTTCATTTATCTCTACTGGCACTCGAGCAGGGAGGTCCACGACATCCAGACTTCCTGTGCCGCACTGGCCATCTATTGATGACCCCCAACAAAAAATCTGGCCAGTGTCCGTGATGACTGCACTGTGGTGTGCCCCACATGCTATGTGCACGCAACGATCTGAGAAATGGATAAAATTATTAATGTAAAGAAGAGGAAGCAAAATAATAAAAACATATACTTGTGCTTGGATTTGATATTCAAAAAACATAGAATGAAAAAGCAATGCTGTGAAATAAGAACATAGGCTTGTAGGACACTAGTAGCATTGTCTGCTTATCAACCAAGATGTAGCAGATTTGAATTCATATGGAAATGTTCCCAGTTATGAGCAAGTAGTATGGTGGAATAAAGTCATCAGGTGAAATTGAAAAATATATAATGACCTGGAATGGGGTTAAAGTTCAACTATCTACAATATCCTGGCACATAAAAAAATGATAGGTGTCAAACTAAAATAATACACCCCAAAATAATGTTTATAAATCTATTATATTTTTTCTATACATTTGAGAAAAATCTAAGAGCTAATTATGAATCTATCATGACCTATTAGTATAAGTAATAGTTTAAGTACTGAATGATTTTATTTACATTTTCAGACTTAAAAAATAAATGAGTTTGACATTAGCTGCCACTTGTGTAATAACTTAGCTAACTACCACTAAATAGGTGACAAAGCGATTTTCAATGTTACTTTATCAATGTCACCATTAACTGGAGGGAAATTCTTGATTTAATAAGATTATGCCAAAGTCTAGAATATTTTTTTTTAACTTGAACATCTGTGCCGTTCCCTTTGAAATTGAGTTCAATTGGATGTATATTTGTTGAAATAAATGCACACAAAAATATCATCATATAAATATTTTTAACTAAACCTGGTAATCCTTCAACTTTGATTGGCTCCTCCACGACTCTGACGTCAAGCATACCAAGGCCAAGCTGGCCCATGTCGTTCTCACCATTGATGTAGACACTGCCATCGTCAATCAAGAACAGATTATGCTTATAGCCAAGGGACACATCTGTGACGTTCAATTTTGTGAACACATCAAATGTGGTGATGTTTAGGTCTCCAGTGAAACCACGCCACAAGTATGTAGATGCAGGTTTGGCTGTGGAGCTGTCAGAATGAAAATGAATTGAATTAATTTTTAAGGTTTAATTGAATCTAAGTTTATATTTTAGAATAATCAGCAGCTGGTTGTTTACAGTAAATAATTGAATGAGGTGGCAAGGTTCAACATTTTTCATTTACTATATGTGTTAATTTACAATTCTGAAATTGTTTTGCACTCTAAAATAGGCCCTACTTTGATTTGTTATTATAATTTATTACATTAATTTTGTTGAGAAACGGAAAAAATGGAGGGGGGGGGAATCCCAAAATTGTTTTTAACTTCATTTATGAATGTCTGAATGACTCCCAAGGCCTAGACATCAGTGGTGTCAAGTGTAGTATCATAGGAAGAGAGAACAGCCATGCTCTAGTGGGAATTTTTTTCTTTTTTTTTTTTGGAAAAGGGGTATAACTACTGAGTTTTTTGGGGTTTTTTTTTTTTTTTGCACAAGTGGGGGGGTGGGGGGGGGGGGAAAAATCTTTGCCAGCCCTTGGTGGGCCTAACCCTAAAAATATCATAGGAAGAGAGAACAGCCATGCTCTAGTGGGAATTTTTTTCTTTTTTTTTTTGGAAAAGGGGTATAACTACTGAGTTTTTTGGGGTTTTTTTTTTTTTTTGCACAAGTGGGTGGGTGGGGGGGGAGGTAAAAATCTTTGCCAGCACTTGGTGGCACTAACCATAAAAACACAACAAGCCAAGTGGCACTAGAGGTAGATTAAAGAAGATAGACTTATTTGAATTTTTAAGCCATTTTGTCTTTAGCCAACTCTGTCCAATTGTCAAATTCAAACAACTGAACTGCTGGGATTTTTCTTTTATGTGCATTTTTACTTTATTTACTGTTTGAACCTAAGTTATTTATTTATTTTATTTTTTTTGGAGACATTTACAGTTTGATTAACTAAATAATCAATTGAAATCATAATTTAATAACTTTAATAATGGTGATTTTATTATATTATTATTTTTTCTACATAGAACTTTTTTTTAATTTTCCAACTTTAAAATAAATAATTGTTTAAAAAAAAACAGCCTAATAGCGCCAAGATCGCCTGCCTATGGCATGGCCTATGTTAGTAATTGAACATAACTCATTGATCATTATGATCTGATAATTTATTACCCGGTACTAATAAAAATATTAAAGAACTGCTGACAATCGTAGACTTGTAGTGTCAAAAGGAAACTTGTAAATTTAAAAAAAACAGGTAAAACATGACAATGACAAAGATTAAAAAAAACAACTGTCAGAATAAAATTTAATAAATTTAACGACCCATTTAACATCCAATGAGTATATGATTGAGTAGCATTGAGTTTTAGCAGTAGTTAGTAGAGAGAGGTCAACAGTAAACACCCAGTCAAGTAAACAGTAAACAGCCTCAGGTGAAGGAAGGCCACTACGGCCGCTTGACAATGAGCACTAGCAGTGAGCAGGTAAAAAAATATAATTCTGTTAAAATTTAAGGAATTATTTATTTCACTATGTTTTGACAGTTGTTTTCTTTTCTTTACTTTAGATAGAAACAGTACAAACATTTTATTTTCTCCTATTTCTGTCTCGGTAGTGTTATCATATGTGGAAGCCATTGACACAAAGTGATAAAATTATTGTAAACAATGAGATATAATGGGAGTGGCTCACATAATTACCGACAGCAAGATAACTTTTTATTTTAAATTGTGGAACTATTTAAATTAAACGTAAATGTATCATTTTCAACATTTTAATTATTCTAGCTAACAATAATTAAGATATGTTAAGTTTTATCAAAAGTTGAAAATAATAATAATACAAACTTTATAAATATGATTAAATGTATAATAATTAGGCTATAACATACAAATAAAGGTTAACTAATTATCACATTATGGCACAGAAGCCAGTAGTATGAAATTAATCCAATATTATTTATAATAGCATCTGTTGTCAGACAAATATTGGTAATGGAAAGTTATTAGCATTTGTTCGTATACGCATGCTTTTTTTAACAGTATTATGGACATAGATTATATAGTAATGGAATATATGAAAAATTATTCATCATGTTCCATGCACCCCTTCCCATTCCTCCCTCCCCTTTTTCATTTGTTTATCAGTCCGAATCAGTGTTTCAAACAATTTCCTCATAAAGGTTGAGGGGGTTGGGGGGGGGGGATTTTCAAATTTTCGGTAGGGCAGTGCCAGTGGCGTAGCTAAGGGGGAATGGGGGCGGCCATACCCGGGCGCCAATATAGCTGAGGTGCAAAAATGGGATTTCATAGTATATAATGGATGAAAATATTTGATTTCAGGATTGAGAGGGGCGTAAAAATGAATCTTGTCCCATGGCACCAAACACTCTAGCTACGCCTCTACCAGTGGTGCAGAATGGGTGCGAATTGGGGTGGCCACCCAGGTGTCACTTTTTCTTAATATAGAGGTACGGCGTTTTTGAACAACTGTGGAGTTTGTATCGTGAAAAGGAGTGCCGCAAAAATCTTTGGGCAACCCCTGGCGGCATTAATACTAGCTATGCCACTAGGCAGTGTATTTATCGGCACCAACATTGGCGATCATTTTTCATCGGGATTTAGGGCATAAATTGACGTGGGGGGGGGGGGGGGGGGGTGGGTTTTGGGGGGGAGGGGGCTGGGGGGGGGGGGGGGGGGGGGGGGGGAGATGAATCTTGAGCGGAAGAGGGCTCTGCGGAGCGCCCTCCACAGACATTTTTTTTATTATTTCAAAATCAAGATGTGCCGTTTGGAATTTGATTGAATTTATTATGTCTATAGACATTTTTTATCGGGGTAAGGGATTTTTAAGCGTCAGAAGGAAGCATTATGGCACCCAGTGCCATACATAAACTGAATTCACTCATTGTGTGGCGTGACCGAGGGTAATCATTTGGCACAAGCTTGTATTCAACCCCATCCTGTAACACTGATCAGCTTTTATATTTTATTCGGAGGGGTGCAGAAATTGAGGGTGCAAATAGTCGTACAAATTTCGATTTGGTGTTTCTTTCAGACAATTTTGAGGGGGAATTTCAAATTTCGGGTGGGGAGCGCAAAATGCAGGCCGTATGCATAATAATGATCAAGGGCATCTCTAGCTCTAGGCCCAGGCCAACATGAAATAAATTCTTTACAGTTGTGTCACCCTTGGGGGCATGCTTTGGGCCAAGCTTATTCTCGCCCTTTAATTTTTATAGTCCCCAGATATTGTTAGATAAATTCCAAATACAAGTGTGCATTTTAGCACATACCTGAATTTACTTTTGCAACATTCTACACTTAGTTGGAGAGCAACATTCTACACTTAGTTGGAGAGCAACATTCTACACTTAGTTGGAGAGCAACATTCTACACTTAGTTGGAGAGCAACATTCTACACTTAGTTGGAGAGCAACATTCTACACTTAGTTGGAGAGCAACATTCTACACTTAGTTGGAGAGCAACATTCTACACTTAGTTGGAGAGCAACATTCTACACTTAGTTGGAGAGCAACATTCTACACTTAGTTGGAGAGCAACATTCTACACTTAGTTGGAGAGCAACATTCTACACTTAGTTGGAGAGCAACATTCTACACTTAGTTGGAGAGCAACATTCTACACTTAGTTGGAGAGCAACATTCTACACTTAGTTGTAGAGCAACATTCTACACTTAGTTGGAGAGCAACATTCTACACTTAGTTGGAGAGCAACATTCTACACTTAGTTGGAGAGCAACATTCTAAACTTAGTTGGAGAGCAACATTCTACACTTAGTTGGAGAGCTACGGAAGAGATGATATTTAAAAATTTAAGATATCACTTAAACTTAAAGCAATCGTGTGAGCCCAGCAACCCCTACGTTCAGGGGGCCTCTGATATTTTCGGAGTTTAAAGTTTTAATCTGTTTCTTTAAATGCAAGATGGGGGAGTGCAAAACCGCAAAGTGGCAGGGTGCCTCGAAAAGTCAAGCTACGTTCCGCATTGCGATGTTATAAATATATATATTTTTGTATATTCCTTAACAGTAATGTGGCTTCTATATTTTATTTAAATTATATTTTAGGTTTTCAAGTAGTGGTATGTAGCCAGAAGGGGTTACTGGAAATTTGTTTGAAAGAAATTTCGTCGACGGAAATTTGATCGAACGGATATTTGGTCAAATCTTTTTTTTTTCAGTTCACTCGATAAAATTTTCGTCAAATTTCTTTTTTGAACGCACTATACTATCTATATAGTAAAACAAAATAATGCGTTCAAAAAGAAATTTGATGCAAAATTTTAACGTATGAACTGAAAAAAAGGATTCGACTAAACTTCCGTTCAATCAAATTTCTGTGAATCAGTTTTCCAACTACAAAATTTCTTTCAAACAAATTTCCGGATACGGCCAGAAGGTGTGAAGTCCATGTTTGGAGTTTGCCCTGAACCAAATGTTGGTCGTCTTTACGCTTCATTTCACTTCAAAAGGCAGTCACTTAAAATAGTCTTTTTTTCAGCTAAATCTGGACGTTTCTTCTTGCTAAAATGCAAATATTGGTAGGTCTTCGATTTGAGCTATTCCACAACATTACATAATGTAGTTCAAACTGCAGAACGGACAGAAAACAAAAACAGTTTCATCAGGTGAATGCATATCAAGCCATACTTTCTGTTGGAATTCAATATTGCCATTTTGCGAGCGATGTTGTAACATTCTGCTTGGCATTAACTAGAAGCCTCCCCCCCCCCCCCGTTTAAAAAATAATATTACTATTACACTTTAATAATAAAACGTAAACAAATGAGCCCACGTCATTTAATTGTATATATTTCCGTCATGTGATTGTATGTTTACAGATCGGATTATGATTACATTATGTGATTGTATATATTTAAGTGAAGTGATTGTATATCTTTAATTTACTGATGAGATTACGTCATGACATTGCATATATTAATTCATATGATTTTTATATACTACAGACTTTTTGTGAAATGACTAGAATGGGAAAGTGAACTAAATAATACAATAATAAAATACAATTGAGGGCACCACGATTTTTTCTTGTCACTTGTTCAAGTGCATAAAGTTGTTGTTTACCAGCTAAGACTAAGATACACATTTGTCCAATATCATCAAACCAAAGTTACAAATGCGACAATTTACTGTCATTTCTCTTGTAGTGTTAGCCCTCACAGGCCCTGGTGAGTTCTGAATTTTTTTTTCTTTCTATGTGTGTGAATCTATTAATGATTGCGTAACCTGGCATTTAATATTGAGAAGATATTCTCTTCTTAATTGTTTTCAGTGATTCAAGATCGTTCACGCGCACTTAGAAAACGCCTCCATTCACCTCTATTTTAATTGATCTCGCCGAGTGTTTAGATGAAATTTAAATTCAGTCCCCCCCCCCCCCCCCCCCCCCCCAGTCTTATCATCCTTTGTCTCGACCTCAACAACTCTGTCTAATCTATTTACTACATATGCATGTATATAAATATGAAAACCACACTATGTTCAGGCTATACTACCAATGACGGAACGACACAATGCATTATGAAAATGTGGACTTGGCATTTCTCTTCATGTGTGAAAGCAATGGTAATGGTGTCATACATGTTTTGAAGCAATGGTGTCACATGTGTGTGTGGAAGCAATGGTGTCACATGCGTGTGTGGAAGCAATGGTGTCACATATGTGTGTGGAGGAAATGGTGTAACATACATGTGCGGAAGCAGTGGTGTCACATAGCAATGGTGTCACATACGACCGCCAATGCAAGATCCTCAAAGATTTACCGCAGTCCGTCACTCTTTAAGATCCTCAACAGAAGTGCGAGCATCCCAAAGAGCCATTCGTCATGATAGTTTCGTCAAAGAGTTTGTAAGATAGCATCAATACAGACCACACTTGGACTAGTTTGTTGATCTAACAAAACAATGTTCACGTCCGATTATAGTTATTTTTGTATTTTCATACATTTCAAATAGGATAATGATATATCATCTAACTAGAAATGCAGCTGTCGTCTTGAAAGAACAAGGGTGCTAAACGGGTGACTTTAAATCTAATTCAAAGTTAATCAAAATGAATATAAAAAAGGAAATGTATCTCCCTGTGTGCGTTTTTTGTTGTGTGATGATTAACTTTATCCAGCATAGATGGAACACATATTTTTTCCATATGCATTATACTTAGAGATGGGAGATCTCTACTTATACTACACTAGGAGAACACTTACACAGGGATCTATCCTTAAAGTGAATACAATGCTACACACTAGTATAACACTTACACAAAATAGCAGTAAAAAAAGCAAATAGTATATGATTGTGAAAACATTCTTTCATTAGTTCCATTTAAAATTACATCAGTTGAAATATTTACAAGTTTTTCCTGGACAGAATATTTTCAAGCCAATATAAATTGAAAGGTGACAAAACATGGCTGCCTATTTGCATGACAAGGTTAAACAAATGCTAAAAATAAAACATTGTTTCATTAGTCTGCAACAAAAACACATCAATTAACCCTGTGATGCACATGGTAGACAGAATGTGAGCAAAGAAAATTTTAAAAAATCATTCAATAGACACATTTGCCACTATCAACCATGTGGACATGTGCCACTATCAGCAATGTAGACATGTGCCACTATCAGCAATGTTGACATGTTCCACTAACAGCAATGTAGACATGTGCCACTATCAGAAATGTGGACATGTGCCACTATCAGCAATGGACATGTGCCACTATCAGCATGTAGACATGTTTGAATGAGAGTAATATTAATAATAAAAAAGATGTATTAGTTAATCAAAGCTACAGATTTCAATAATTTTGAATTACCAGCACCTTACAAACATTTCAATCAAAATATACAGAATAAAAGGATTGATTCAATCAAAATATACAGAATAAAAGGATTGATTCAATCAAAATATACAGAATACAAGGATTGATTCAATCAAAATATACAGAATACAAGGATTGATTCAATCAAAATATACAGCATACAAGGATTGATTCAATCAAAATATACAGCATGCAAGGATTGATTCAATCAACATTTAACAAGACAACGTACCAACGTTGCTGGGTGGCCGAGCGGTCTAAACTGTCTCAAACGAAATAGCTGGTGGTCTGGAGTTCAATCCCCACCAAAGCCATCCCAAGCAACCCGGGTGGATGGGACTCGTTAGCCTTGGACGGCAACCTGTCTAAGAGAAGGCAAACTCTGAATTTAAAAAAACTAGGAGCCAGAATGATCAACAAATTGATCGTGGGCACCTCGAATATAAGAAGAAGAAGAAGAATTCTCTCTACAAGATAACTGCATCATAAATTTACAATACAACTGCATCATTAAATCTTTCATAACGTTATAACCCAACAAAGACTTTGTAAAGCGGTCTAAAAATACTTGTTTAAAAAAAAGAGCCTTTGAGCAGACGATTTCAAAGTAAAATGACATTTGAAAATAGTTCATATCAAGTTTTTCTAATAAAGTCCATAAAAAAAAAGAAGAGCAAAATATGCTCACAATTTGTAATTAATAATTAAATTTGTAGATCTATAACATTTCCTTTGAAACCAGGAAATCAGGCTAAGAGTTGTGCAAGGTTGGACCAAGTCAATTTAATTTAACTTCTCCAAGTCTCCATATTTATTATGGGAGATCATTCTTAACCACCTTTATTTAAATTCCCACCCCCTGTTTAAGCCAGACAACTGAGCTGTTGTGAAGGTAGTGTTTACATCCCTGAAGCTCAGCTTAGAATACTTTCATAGAGCGGTGATGGGTCCACACCTTGCAAATAGCACAACAGCTACCAGGAAATACACTGAACACAATCTTCATGTATAAAAGCACCATCAGAAATAATGTCTCCTTTCAGCAACTTTTGTGTCAAGTCCAATAAAACAGCATTTTCACTTTACCCTCAGGCACAGCAACATCATTAATAATTGGTTTTGTTGCTATGTACAAGTTTGGCCACGCACATACTCCATTCAATCAGCTTGCAATGACATGGCTGCTAACATCCGAACATTCAGCTTGCAATGACATGGCTGCTAACATCTGAACAATCAGCCTGCAATGAAATGGCTGCTAATATCTGAATGAGCCGGGTGTTGAGGACATGCTGGGAGCATGGATTGATGCTCTTTCTTCCTCTGGGGCACCGCCATCAGCTTTCAGTACTGAGATGCACTTCCAGATGTCCAAGTAATTTGCTGGAATTCATGTTTAAAAATATATAAGTGCCTGGTATATTTGATTGTGAATTATCAATATCTACAGTTGTATGGAACTTACAATCTGAATTTGAAAATTTTACTTAATATTTAATAGCTTCACATTTCTTACGAATAAGTTCAAATATACAACTGAAACTTGAGTTCCACTATAAGAAATTCATTGATTCGGGTAAAAGATACACGATTGTTGACCATGGAATAGATCTTAGAGTTCTAACTATTCACAAGCAAAACCACATATACTTTAACTTAAAATACACATGAAGTTAGTTACCTTTCCACAAGCGAACGCTTCCATCGTCTCCGGAGGAAGAAAGAATGGTTCCTGTTATATTCCATGAAAGCCTCCAGACCTTTTCAAAAATTGGTTAAAAGATAAAAAAAAAAGTATAAATTTCTTCAAAATGTTTAATAGAAATATGTAGGTAAATAACAAAATTTCAAATAATCCCATTTTGAACTGAAGACATAAATATGGTCTCTCTTACTCTTTCTCTATAAATATGTATGATGTAGATAAGCTCTCTATCCAATGGAAGCAATGGCTTTTTAAAAGAATAACATAACTGAAATCAGCTGGTAATTCCATTTCCCACATTTATCACGTAGACCCCCCTTGGGGGTCGATCAACCCTTACACAGGGGTGGCTTAAGACCATTGAAAGCACATATTTACTTTTTCCCTTGTGATGCATACCCCCAAAAAACTTTTCCCCTAACCCCACTTTGGGAAACAACAATAAACTATTATTACATTGTTGAAAGAAAGTAAAACAAAGTTTAAAGAAAGCCCGAGAAAAGGATGCAACAAAACAACGAACGTGTCAGCAAGAAGCCTTCTTCGGCAATCAAACAACAGTAAAAACAATAGAAAATAAAACACACACATTATCATCATCATGTTTAATGCACATTAAGAAAGAAAATTCAAATAATGTGCATTGCAATCACCTTTGATCCATGGTCATTGAATCTTCCGGACTGACGAATCTCAAATATACTGTGCTCACTAGAGATTTGCCTGCTTTCTTCTCTGGAAGTAAACACATGTCAATGTTTGAGCAATGTAGCTACTGTTTCCGACTAGTAACTATATTTTAATACAACTATGATCTACGCAATGTTGTAGTCTGACCGAGTTGTATCCTTTTAACATGTAGCAAACTATTGGGGATGGTGAAAGATATGTTTGTTGACTGTCATACTTGGAAAATTTTAAAGTTATAACTGGGGTGTCCAGGAAGATATTTTCAGTTCACTATTTCTTGGATGAATTCTTGCCTCTCTCTCAAGCAATGATTTATACTATAAAACAAAGTGTAACAATATATATAGATATACATACATACACAGACATAAATATACATCATCATCAATCACACAAAAAGACCTGAATTAATGGAACACTTCCAGTCAATCTAGAAACATGACAACATTCAGATTGATACTTTCAAAATCCCAGATAAATATAAAAAAACTAAAAACTCCCAGAAAGGGGTGCGTGTTTATATTTTTTATGCTAGAAACTTCAAATTTGATGTTAGTGAAGACTAAAATATCACTAAAATATTTGAACATTTTATGAAAATTGTTACAAACATTTCAGAGGGGCCTCATGTGGAAAAATGTGACCTACATTTAACCCAGCCACACACTGCTTTATTTCTTTACATCCCCCACCACGGCAGTTAAGCACTAATATATCCCATCAACATTCACCCACACCCCGGCAGAAAGCACTGGCATCACCCCAATAGAAAGCACTGACACCCCAGCAGTGAAGCACTGACATCAACCCGGCAGTGAAGCACTGACATCACCCCCGCAGTGAAGCACAGGCACATTTGACAGTTGAGCAGGATACCTTAATACATGGTCTTCATAACTTAAACAGCACAGTGAATTTTTTTTTACTCACTACTTGCCATAGATGAACATAATAGTATGATATTGTTTTCTCTAGGTAAAGTTCATCTTTCATGAGGCTTAAATAAAAAAACTCTCAGAAGTGACAATTGTTTTACATGAATAGTAGCACCTAAGGTACTCATTTCTAGAACAGAGCTAACCAAAAAATTGTTTAAATATTTTTATTTAATTTACCTGACATTTTTAAGAGATATGATGGTAAGCTCATCGGATGCTATAGCTAATTGATGGAAAGGCCTTCCCACACTGGGGGCAAATTTAACATCATGAACAGCTTCTTTGACACTGTATATGGTGCTTACTTTATGCCATTTTCTGTTGAAAGTAACGTATTAATGATTGAAATACAGCAGAAATTCAAACAGTTTGAAAAGTTCAAAAACATATTTTTTTTTAAATTTCAAAAGTATGACATTGGAAATGATTTCTAGTGTTCTCTAAAGTTATAGTTATCAGTGTGGGGGATATTTGCACCCGCCTGGTTGTTTCATGGTAGCGGTACTCATATTTTTACCCACCTGGTTGTTTCACTGTATTCATATTTGCACCCACCTGATTGTTTTGCTGTACCCATATTTGCATCCACCTGGTTGTTTCACTGTACCCATATTTGCACCCACCTGATTGTTTCACTGTACCCATATTTGCACCCACCTGGTTGTTTGGCTGTACCCATATTTGCATCCACCTGGTTGTTTCACTGTACCCATATTTGCACCCACCTGGTTGTTTCACTGTACCCATATTTGCACCCACCTGGTTGTTTCACTGTACCCATATTTGCACCCACCTGGTTGTTTCGCTGTACTCGTAGATCAGAACTTTTGCCCCAGCAGCTATGTTTGCATCGTCACTGCCGACGGCTATCAATGGAGCACTCGTCCTGAAAGGAATGACTCGGATTAGAAATTCACTGTCCTCATCATCGTTTTCACTACTGCACTTGGCAACAAGTTCAAGTCGTTTGTTAACTCTTACATCACCAAGGGTTTACACAAAGGATATTTCTTCAGTGGCAAGGCATATATACAGCAGGAGAAGAATAAAGAGCATGAAAATAATTAAATAAACGTACTAGCTATTTGATTGTTATTTAATATCTCTGCCTGTTATTCCTTTATGGATGTAAACTTTTCAATCTTCCCAGCATGCCTTAGTCAAAAAATGTCTACATTCCTTTATAATCATGATTGAAACCTTTTTTTTTTTCAACAAAAGAACCACCAGACACCAACATTTACCTGGAAGTGCCCCAAGAGAGACAACTCAGACTCAGGTTACAGTTGAACTCACACTGAAGTTGCCAGTTGCCGAGCTTCATGACGTCAACAGCCTCATAGATCCTGACAATCCCATCAGATGAACAAGTGGCCTGCGCAGAGATAAACAGTTGTCTACATTTCCAGAAAGATTGGGAGGGATTATTTATTAGCCATCCAGAGGACATACATTATTGAGAACAACTATTCATCTGTGATGCCAAGGGCAGAATGGATTATATTTCAGCTGCTACTTTACCCCAAGAGACACCCTAATTTTTTATACTTTTCATTAAATGCACACAAAAAACCTTTTCCATGGGCTTATATTAATTTTTTTTTTTAAATCTTAAAACATGCAGGTGGAAAACAGCTGAATAAGAACACAAGTGTCGGAATTTGATGTTTGTGTATGAAAAATTTATATTAACCCAACCCCCCCTCCATATTCAGGTAAGCCATGAGCCGATGGTAGGGCAAAACTTTCCCTCTATCATGGTGAAGGAGCATCTATGAGCGTCACAGTTTGTTTCATGGTGAAACTATGGATATATTTATTTCCTAAATTTTGTTTGGGTTTGAAATTTTTAATTTACAGGCATAATTAAAACCACATGGGATGGTCAGAATTTAAAAAAAAATTTATTCTTTGTTATTTGCATCTTATTTTGAGGGTGGTTACCAAGTATTTTCCACGGCAACTAGTCATAAGGTTACCAAAACCAAACCAGATGTAAATAAGCTGGAGATGTGTTTATTTACTTTCTGATTTTTATTAAATTAGAAACTGCTCTCATTTGGTGCAGATGTGTTTACATAAATTATAAGTTTATAAAATATATTTATAAATTATAAGAAGATGTCAATAATAATTAAATGTTTTGGAAATTCAGAACCGAAAGGTAAGTTGGCTCGTTAATAATTAAGAAAACTGTAACTGACTATGCACATAAACCTTCATGTGGGAAAATGTGACCTACATGTAATGTAAGCTAGCCACACACGGGTAATGGTTTTTCAAAGATGTCACCGCCGAGTTAAAAAACAAGAATTCATATGTTACAAAAAATGAAATAAGTATTACTGACCAACTGTAAGCCCAGATGCTTTGGAGCAAAGCAAACATCTGTTACAGTCGTTCTACTGTCGGCTAAGGAGATCCTCTTGAGCCAGGCATTAGCGGATGAGTCACCTTTGGTGCTCAAGTCACCACCAAGTTCCTCCCAGACTGCAACAGTGCGATCAAATGAACATGTAGCAAGTATCTGGCCAAATTCAGGATGGGACCATGTCACTCGCGATACAGAGCCACCAGGAGTCTAAAAGGCAACCAGATTTATATTTTAATGACTACCGTAGACACATAAATGTTATTAATAATCACATGGGAAGATTTCCAAATTATTTAATTTCATCGAGCTAATATGAGGTAATGATATTAACTCAGTAATTTTACCTGTCATACTCTTTTCTAAAATATATGAGACAGTTACTTTTGGTCTTGTCATATTCTTTGTCATATTTGATTTATGAGAAAGTGACTTTGGTCATACAGAAATTCAAAATTATGAACCGAGACTATATTTATGACAGAAGCCCGTGTGTCAATATCAACCAACTTGATTGAATGTGTAAGTTTGACATTAGTATGAGGCAAAATAAATAACTCACCTTCCAACTTGCGGTGCATTTCCATTTACCATTTTCCAAGTCCCAAACCTAAAAAAAAAATTAGTTAAGAAACTAATGATTGCTTAGTCTAGAAGAAACTAATGATTGCTAAGTCTAGAGCGGTGTAGACTATTAAATTAAACTATCATGGGGAGAGGTGGGGAAAGCCATAATCATTGCAACCTAATAAATAGCCAGTATTATGCTGGGCAAATAAATTACATGGATGTAATTAATAATAGCCACTATTGCAACTCAGACCAAGTAAACCATAAAATTTGATAAATGACACAATGTGTCCTGACACATTTCCTGGATTTTGAAAGAGGTTTCCCAACACACATTTGTTTTACACGTTTTTTTAAATGGTCTCGAAGTTTTAATGTAAATAATGAGCTAAACTTTGAGTACCGTAACTATGTAAAAAACTATTGCCAAACCTTGACAGTGTGATCACTGGAACATGTAGCCATCCTCCTTCCATGGCAGTCAAAAGATACATCATGAATCAGATCTTTGTGTTCTGATGCTATAGTCTGAGCAACGAACATTCTTCAATGGAGCTAAAAGTAAAGACACATGATTCATTAATGTTGTAGAACCTTACTAAATTAACCAAAAGCAGGCAAACAACTTTAATGACCTATGACATGACAATTTTTATGTAGCCGAGTGGTGAGTGACATACAGTTCTTAAATGCTCGTGTAAAAACTTAAGAAAAACCGGCCCAGAGAACTATAGCTTTATTGGTCCTAAATTTGGGGTACAAGCAAAAATTGCGAGAGGAAAACAGCCAGAGAAAAAGGGCGATATAGAACGGCCTGATAAAGACAGTGAAATATACAAACCAAATGCTGCCAGTATAAATTCCAAAATGAGCGGTTATATCGAACCTGCCTTATCTAGCCCATCCATGGCGACCATGATGTTAGTCTCACGAGTTGTTCCTACGTCAAGCGCTGTGCAAGCATGCTCCATCAGGTGTGTGAGTGACCAAAAAAAGACTAAGGCCCAGTGCACACCTATGTGCTACTTTTTAAAGTTAAAGTTCAGTGGGTGTGAACATGCCTGGGGTTATCAGTCACAACAGTGACCCTCTGAGCTTATTCCTTTTTCCTACAGGGGGCACACTGCCACATTTATTATTCGCATTGAAATGATCATCATAATTGTGTATGGAGCACTGAAGTCTGAATGGACCTAGGACTATATAAAATCGAACAATTGTATATATGCCTAATCTTCTAATATCAAGATAAAATGCCATTTTATCCTTGATATTAGGCCTATGTATAACCTGTTGGGTCTAAACTGAGTCAATCACAAGTTCGTGGTCTGAGAGAGGCAATTTTCTGTGTAGGGAACCAGCTTATAATCCTAAAATGAATAATTCCAGGCCTTGTGGATTACGTCCTAAGAAGTCTACACCATCGTGACGAAGGGAAGCCAGCAAAAAAGAACAACCTACATAAAATAATTTGATTTTACATGTTATCCCTGTTGAAGTCTGAATTCATTTTCTCATTTTAATATTTTAACGTTAATTAATATATTTTTAAAATTTATTATTGTCACGCATTATTTACCTATTCCATTAACAATAGAAATTTAAAATTTATGTTTTAACAAACATGTTTTTTACTATATTTTTATATGTCATTACTAATTAGGACTAATTATCATTACTAGCTATTTAGGTCATTTTAGACAAAAGCCATAATTTTAAAAGCATAAGCACTAGTTTGTCAAGATAGACTCATTGGCATGGCATCCGTTCGTCACAATGTGACGATGGTGAAGACTTCGCAAGCCGAAATCACAAGGGCTGAGATTTTTCTTTTCACTTCAGGATTATAAGCTAGGTCCCACACAGCAAATTGCCTCTCTTCATGCCCTTGAATAACCCAAGGTAACATCAAGTGGATGATACAGCTTGGCACCAATGGCATCGCAGGAATTGTGGGAATGTTTCATTGTCCCCATGTTACCCGCCTGCAGGACTCCATCTCCGGGTTTGAATTCAGAGTTTCCTTCTCTTAGACGAGTAGCCATACATGGTTAGCGGGTCCCACCCACCCGGGGTGCTAGTATTGTTATTGCTTGACTGGGCTTGGGGGGGGGGGGGGGTTTTGAATTCCAAACACCTTTTGGCCAAACATGAAAATGAAAAAATTAATAGGACCGGGGGGGGGGGGGATCTGCTGAAATAGCGTGTCATCATTTATGGGATGACCCTTTTGTATGTTCCAAGTGCACTTTTTTTTCTTTCTTTTTTGGTGACCTTTCCAAATTTAGGTTTTAACTTCTAACATATTCAACAATTCGAGATAGTCTAGCAATCTCAATTTTTTTTAATAACAGGTTTCCCCTTTCGCATAGCCCTGCCCAAGGGTAACGCGGCACCCCATGGTGAAGTGGTGCAAAATTGAGAACCACTGGGCACGCCAAACAGCGGTGAAAACCCGTGATACATTTTTTACTGTGACGTCATAATTGTGTATCAATTAATTTTTGGTGGTTGTGGGGGGGGGGGGGGTCGAAAGTCCCTTGTACGTACAAATAGGCCGGGTGTCTAATAGAAAGTACGCGTGCACCGGGGGCGAGAGAGGGGGCGAAAATGTGACTTTTTTGCGCACATAGGGATGGCTTCATAGGTGATGCCATCGTGACTTATTTAGGCCTAAGAATACAAGTCTATTCTGAATTTGATCAAAGCTGTTCATGTTTAAATTGCGACACTAACAGTATTGCAATATCTGTGTCAATAAATTCATGTCTGTACATTGCGACACAAACAGCGTCACAATATCTGAATCAATAAAATCATTTTTGTACATTGTGACACAAACAGCGCTAAAATATATTAATCAATAAAATTCATTTGTGGAATGTTATTCACCCGATTAAAAAAAATATGAAATTTACAACGAGAGGATACAATAGGGATCTTTTTAAACAAAACTTCAGTAGACTTAGTCACTCCTCAAAAGATGTTGAATACAATGTACTACTATTAATCTACAAGATAGTTTTTTTTCAAAATGTCTGAAATGCGCTGAGAAATTACTTTAAATGAAATGTTATTATTTTAAGTTTAACTGCAGTGGTGGAAGATCGTTCAATCGTTTAAAAATAATAAAAAATCTCCCCTGTGTTCAGCAACTGGCCTGCGGACAGATCGGCAAATTTAACTCTTTTACACACCAAGTCGGATTGTACGGCAAGTCTTGTGTTTCAATTAATCATTGCTTCCTTCTCTACGTGTGGAAAGCGTGGTGGGAAGACTTCAAAAATTGGACGGGCGTATCATAGCAACTGAATAAGCAAACAATTCAAGCACAACTCTATAGCCTAATACTTTCAGTTAAAGTTGGTGTCCTTGTTTTATTTTATTTTTTTAATTAAATATTTAATTCAAATGGATTGTTTTAAAGTTGTTAGAGAGAGTGTCTACTTGAGGGGGGTTGTTTTAATTCGTTTTTTGTTGTTGTTATTTGTTGGGTTTTTTTTTGGTGGGGGTGGGGTGTTATGATTGCACCAAGACTCCCAAAAGTTAACCCAGCTCTGCTAAAAGTCGATGCTGATCAAACTTACATGCAGGTTAGTGAATACACAGTGCAGGCGCAAGCCGCATCGGAACCCTCTTTTGGAGTTTTTCGGGTATACTCCTACCAAAAGGATAAAATGGAAACATATGGCTTTTAGAACAATATATTTTCGGCGTCTCAACTCACCACGCCCCCATCCCTTCTTCAACAAAAAAAGTAATAAAAAAAAAAAAAAGACTGGCACTGTCCACTTATATTAGAACTAACTGAAATGGATTCAACATTAAGACGTGGACGCTTGCGTTAAATGCACTTCTTCTTCTTCTTCTATATCTTAAGGGCCCACGATCAATTTATTGATCATTTTGGCTCCTATGCATGTAGATGGGATTTGCAATGTTTCTGTTACCGGTGTTGATGAGGAAATCATGCACTAGGGGTTTGAAGGCTTGAGGCAATAGACAGCAATAGACACAAATGAATAGACACAAATGTGTCTAGTGTTGTCGCCTCAACCGTTCCTTTTGAAAGATTGTTCCAGTCCCTGATTGTCTTGGGCAGGAATGAGCAGCTCCTATGTAACATCAAGTGGTCTGAGAGAGGCAATTCCATTGGCCAACTCCAGTCCAAGCACTTTGGACTTTAGTGGACCAAAGAGGCTAAAGCGGGCTACCTTAGGCATAGGGAACGTTTGTAATCAGGGGTGTTGGTGTTGCAGGAAAACTGGAATTTTTACTCATTCACTGTATTGGTCATGAAAACTTGTCTGTCAAATTTTAGGGGCTCCTGGGAACGAAGCCCCAAATTAAAAATACAGTGGTACCTCGACATACGAGTGCCCTGGCATACAAGATTTTTTAGATAAGAGCCGTAGAGCGAGCAATGTTTTGCTTGGAGATACGAGAAATATTTGAGATACGAGGAACCAGATCAGGGGGTCGGCCGGCTGCAGTGACGAAAATTAAGTAAAAGTAACAACAAATTGTACAGGGGCATTAAAGTTCAATTAAGTTCAGTGAAGTTTAGTTAAGTTCCATTAAGTTTATGGATAAAGTGCAGCATTGTGAGTGTAACGAGTAAGTGAATAAAAATGACAGAAAGAGTTTCGCATTAACAGTGTAGCCAGTAAGTGAACAAAGTGAAGCTCCTCCGCCTATCTCCTCCACACTACACCTCTGCCAGCATCTTTCGTATGCTCAAGTCGGCTGGATTCCAAGGTAACTACAGATTATAAAACCAGTTTATTTCTTTACATTCTCTTTTACTATGTTTTTATACAATATTTGTCATCTATAAAGACATTTTTCTTATTCAAAAACATGTAAAAAAAAAAAAAACAACTGAGGGGGCATTATGGGGACTGGAACGGATTAATGGCATTTCAATTAATTTCAATGGGGAAAATTGCTTGGAGATACGAGCAAATTGACTTACGAGCAAGGTTACGGAACAAATTAAATTCGTATCTCGAGGCACCACTGTAATATAATATTCTTTAGAAAAATTGGAATTTTTAGCGGTTTATCGGAAGGTCGGAATGAGGGTTAAAAATTCAGTATAATTCAGTCAAAATCGGAAGGGTTGGCAGCAGGGTTGCCAACCGTCCATAAATTTACAGACAGTCCGTAAAGATTTGTCGTCAAATTGCCTGTCCGTAAAATTCAGTTAAAAAATTAAGACGTCCGTAAAAAAAAAATCGACAAAACATGGAATCTCAACGTTTAAAAAAAACAGTAAATCATGTTTGTGATATCTATTTTCTTGATTTAAATTTTAATGTTCAAATTTTTTTAGTGGCATCCCACTCTCTATTAATAAACTGTAAGAGCTTTCTGGACAGCTAGATGCTTTCTGGCATCAAATTGGACAAATGACTAGAAATATCGGAAACAAAGAGTACAGATTTCCGCTACTTTCGAAGTTTGCACAATGTTGGCGCTTCCACTTGGAACAGCAGAAGTAGAATGCGTTTTTCTGCGTTTATTGAAAACCAACTTGAGAAACAAATTGTCTACTCCAATGTTGGAAAGTTGACCAACTAAGAAATGGACCAGGAAAAATTATTCACACAATGATCGACAGTGTAAATGTTTCTAATTCTATGTATGATTATGATCATAAACAGGAGGAATTAAACACTGTCACTGATGATGAATGTCATACTGTCACTGATGATGAATGTCATACAATAGACTAACGTTATAAAATATGAGCATTTAAATAGAGACGTACTCATATGGATACTTTACATTTTTTAGCTACAATGCTTGGATTATGCTTCATATTCATTCGTTTTAAGGTCAACATTTTATGTTAAATGTGTCCGTAAAAAAATGTTTTGGTCCGTAAATTTTGTTGAGAGTTCTTATATTTATCAGTAAATATTATTTTATTGAGTTGGCAACCCTCGTTGGCAGGTCTGTAGTAGCCTAAATTTAAAATATCAACCAATGAAAATAAGACTAAGACCAATTGCAATAACAATACTTGAATTACTTGCCAGTTGACTGACTGTCAATTGACCTACAGTCTACAGTCAAAAAAGGCTTATTTTAGACTATTAATGTTGCGTGAGCAGTAGGCTACCCCAACAGCATTACAATGGCCCTAAACTAAACTCCATGTCCCATTATGATTGTGACATTGAGTCAATGATTGGCATATTTATATTCAGAAAATTATTTAAAAAGTTGCCGTTGTGCAGCACTTACTTTCATATATTTCAAAATACTCATCAAATTAGCAAAGGCACTAGCCGTCACAATAGTGCTTATACCAATATATAATTAATATTATATTATAACTATTAAGGCCTACCTGCCAACTTTAAAAAAAATATTTATGTTCGGCCTGCGTCCCAAACAAATAATATTTTCAAAATACCCGCATTGACTACACTCTCATCGTATTTTTAATGGATAAGTCTCTTTACCGAGACCCCAATTATAACCGAGATCAACCGAACTGTACAATTTTGATCCCTTTCTATTTGCAGTTGCGCGTACCATGAGCAAAGTTATCCAATTAAAAAAAAAAAAATTATAAGTGTTGTGATCCGCAATGATTGGTTTCCTATTTCCTGATTATAATTCTTTTACACGCACATTCGACAATTCGTCATAATCACACCGCACTGCTGAACAGAAGTTAATTCTCAAAGAGCAATATAAACTTTAATCCAGAAATATATATATATTATATATGGCCAGCCCCTTGATAAAATGTACTGACAAATATGGCCATTCTGTTGATAAAATGCACTGGCTAACTCTAGTTCCAGAAGAATAAATATTGCGGAAAAGCAAGCAATTATTTATCGTTTCTTAACTATTTTAAACATGTTATTTTCCTGCTAAATGTTTAAAAAAAATAATGTATTAAATCTTAGATACATTTGTACAATAGAAGCTTCTCTGTTGACCAAATATCTTAGTAACGGTCATCACAATTGAAATTAATGATTATAAGGAAACGAATTTACAGATAGAATTAATGTAAAGTACTGGTAAAAAAGTTAGCCAAATGTGTACACTGTTAAATCCAGCTCACACCTTGCTGCTCTACAAGAAACGTTTTAACAAACGTTTAGCATAAAAAACAATCACATTCTCTGACCTTTGCGACACAATCACATTCTCTGACCATTAAGACACAATCACATTCTCGCACCACTAAGACATAATCACATTCTCTGACCTCTAGGACACAATCACATTCTCTGACCATTACTATTCAATCACATTCTCTGACCTTTATGACACAATCATATTCTCTGACCATTATGACACAACCACATTATCTGACCTTTATGACACAATCACATTCTCTGACCATTACGACAAGCATGCCAATAATGGCGTAGGAAGATATGGCTGAGAGAGAGGGATCTCCTCCGGGCAGCAGTAATTTTGGTGCATCATTTTCAGTTAACTTCATTTCGCTGATAAAGCTTAAATTGGTATGTGTGTGCAGTGTGGATGTAATAAATCAATGGTGTCAAAATCAAGGAACGCCCCGGACTACGCAAACTTTATCCGATCTGCTGTACAAGGTGTTTCACCGTAACTGGCTGTAACACGGGTTGCGTGACCCATCATTCTTCATTCCGTTTTAAATGATTATCAAATATAATTTTTTAAAATATTTAATCTTTTAGGAATGATCTTATTAAATTGAAAAAAAATATATATAAAAATAATAAAAATATACATTTTTTTTTCTTCAAATATTTCAAGGGGAATAACAAAATAATTTATGTGATAATAATAACGATAAAGTTTTACAATTTTTTAACCTTTACCACACAAGTTGCATCCCTTTGTATTTACAAAATACCAGAATCTAAAGAAACGCTCTTAATAAGGGAGTTTGTGATATGATAGTTTGTCTCCAAACAATATCTTTAAATAGTTACATGCTGTGCCGTAGCTAGGATTAGTGCCGCCAGGGAAAGTTGGGGGGGGGGGGAGATTTTTTCCGCATCTATCCACGAAAGAAAACCAACTCTTGCATTTGCCCGAAAATGCCACCCCTCCATATAAAGGACCACCCCCTCCTCACCCCTTTCATACGCCACTGGTAACATTAAAACCACATTTTAAAAAACACATTTTTTTTTTACATTGGAAAAATAACAAGACCTTTAAAGATATTTTATGTTTATAACAAAGTTTAAAGTGTCATCTTGCAGTGGAGTTGCTCTCTGTTAGATAACTGTCGGCCTACAGTGGAGTTATCTTCTGTTAGATAAATTATGTAACCTTACGTTGGAGTTGCCCATTGCCAGACAAGTGTGGCCTGCAGTGGAGTTTCCCATTGCCAGATAAGTGCCGGCCTGCAGTGGAGTTTCCCATTGCCAGATAACTGTCGGCCTACAGTGGAGTTATCTTCTGTTAGATAAATTATGTAACCTTACGTTGGAGTTGCCCATTGCCAGACAAGTGTCAGCCTGCAGTGGAGTTGCCCCCTGTTGGATGTCAAAGATATAGCAACCCAGCAAATAAGTTAAAATGTTCAGCTGATGTGACCGAGCTGTGGAAACTGATCCAATCCAAAAAAGCTTGTGGTCTAGAGTTCGATCCCCACCAAAGCCTATAGACAAGTGCAAACATCAGCCGCGACCCCTGGTGGATGTGGCCCGGTTAACCTTGGACGTCAGTTGATCTAAGAGAAGGCAAACTCTGAATTCAATCGCGAAGATGGAGTCCAGCAGGCAGAGAACATGAATACAATGAAAATTCCGGCAACTCCTGCGATGGTTAATGGTTCCAAGCTGCATCATCTACATATGATGTTCCTTTGGGTAATCCAAGGCGATGGAGAGAGACAATTAGCTTACTAGAGAACCAGCTTATCCTAAAGAAAAAAGCCTTGTGATTTCGTCCTTCGAAGTCATCGTTACATTGTGACGCGCGGGTGAATCTCACTGATCAACACAAAATTTGGCGCCTCAGATGTTGGACTTGTTTCTTGTTTAATATTAAAATATGCATTCGCCCTATTATTATTTCACAAAGCAGATTACTTCATAATTAATAAATGCTCAGACTGCAGTGACTGACCTCAAACATTGCAACAAATGTACCAGTTTTCAATCAATACGTCGAGACGTGTGCCGCAAAGTTTGCGATGCGTCGACACGTGTGCCGCAAATTGTGTGTTTATTATTATACGTTATAAACAAGTAATGACGTGTTTTTTGTTCGTGTTTTTGTTAAGTAAGGAAAAGTCCACCCCTGGGGATGGGCGGTTTGGGGGGGGGGGTAGTGGTTGGGGTTGGGGACGGATTACTTTCAAGATGATATAATAAAGTTGCCAGTTCGCGCAACCAACATGCGTGGTTTGAATGTGGTCATGTCGTAAATAAATGGTCGAGTTTACTTCAACCTAAATCGTTGACAGCAAGGATACTCCATGACCGGTCGTGGCATAAACTCTACCGAATCGTTGACAGCAAGGGTACTTCATGTCCGGGTGTGGTAAATGGAACCAAATCGGTCACATGATTATCGAGAACAATTCCTAGAATTGTAAACAAGCAAAAACAATCTTCGGGTTCCAAGAATTAGATAAAGAGCGCAGTTGGAGAATAGGTCAGTCATTGCGGCTGCAGTAAGCACATTGCACGGTTCAATTATATATGCCATCTTTGTGTCATTATGGCTTTTAATTATAAAAGTATGCTAGAGATATTATAATCAAATCTGGACGGATACAGATATTGTTGACATTATAAGGTCTTCATAACGGGAATAACGTTGTCCACAATAGATCTGTTGTCAAATGAAAAAAAAAAAATATCTAAATATATATATAATATTTGTTTGAAGTTTAAATGTCCAACCATATTTCCAGGCACAAATTTACAATTTTTGTGGTATACACACTAAAAGTGTCAGCTCACACGGTCAAACTCCTTTCAAATTAGCGTCGAAATTGCGTCAAAATTTTGTATGGATGCACTATTCTGTGCGTGGTTTCTTTCTTTTTTTCTTTTTGAAAAAAAAAATGAGAATTTGATCAAATGGTAATTTGAAAGTTGTGACAAGGCTTCATACAAAAATATCATCAAATGTATTATCGAAAATTTGAGTTGAATTTGATCGTGTGAACTGACCTTAAGCGTCAGTTCGCACGATCAAATTCCTTTCAAATTAGCTTCAAATTTGTGTCAAATTTGTGTATGAACGCAATATATGACAGCTCTTAGCGTCAGTTCACTTGTGTACATGAAGAGTGTACGTTTACCTCTCCTAAATTCTACTACCCAACGAGGCATCTCTCATAAATTTGAATGCTTGAAATGATTGCGCCATATTTTTTACAACTGTCGACTCTATTTGATTCCAACTGCTAACTGTCGTCATGTCAAACAGTTTACCGTAACTCTGAAGTGACCCTGCATGCGACGCAACGTCAGGAACCTCGCTGCTAATCTTTGCATTCGGGTAGCAAGGCAAACTTCCTGCAGTAAAAAAAAATCAAAAAATCAATGCTTCCAGGAAAGTAATATCGCTGCTGATTCTAAGAATTTGCGTTTTCTTCGCTTCATTGTTTAAGTGGGTCTTGTGCAAACAGCTTGCACGTGTTTGAATCTGTCCTGTGGGTGCGTGTGCGTGTCTGTGCGTGTGTTTATATGTGTGTGTGCGTATGTGTGTGCGTGTGTTATCGTTGCATTTCTTGGTGTTTTTAAAAGTTATTAATTTCTACGCCAAATCTATGCATCTAACTATATATTTTTTTTAAAGTTTGTACTGAGAACAATGGACCAAAATGGGCATATTGTTGATAGCATAGGAAATTTGAAAATTTACGCCCCCCACCCCCCCCCCCCCCCCAAAAAACCCCAGATGTATATTTTTGTGTCATTTTACTGGGTTAAATACATTCATACACAGAATTTATGTCATTTATATATGATAAAATGTTCTTTTTCTATACTAATTTAAAAGTCTGTCTTGTGTAGCACAGTTTAAATATGTTTTGTTATGTTTAACTTTTGAACCTTGGTAACAAGATCATGTCTATGTCTATGAGAGACGCGGTGATACCACATAGGTCTCCGTTATCTCAAGCAACAAATATGTCACGTATTTATTGTGATCACATACCCCGGTTGGCAGGTAACTGTAGGTTGGCAGGTAACTGTAGGTATTAGAAATTTAGAATTTGGCGTTAAAAGTACTCGGTCACAAAATTCCAGTTTTAGATAATCCAGTGCAGAATTTGTGTTCTCTATAAGTGCAATCATTCTTATTTTGGTCTGTGTTTAAATAAGGGACTTGGATACATATTAATGTGTTTAAATTTATGTAGTACACTTAGTTAAACCTGGAAAGAAAAGATCACGGCTTAGATTGGTTTTGTAAAATAAAAAAAGTGACCAGAGTTCTTTTAGCACCGAGGTCTTCCATTGAAGAAAGATAGTCGAATAAGCTGTAAGGCAGGTTTAAACTCGTTGTTGCCCCTGGTCAGCAAACTGTTTGCCTGTCTTCTGTGACACTGCACATGCGCTATGTCGGCCACATAAACATCGCTTCTTTGAAGAAACTGCCTGTAGTTAAAGTTAAAGATGTTTGGTTTTTTTGGGGGGTGATTATAGACAAAAATAATTCATCTTTAGTGTGTGATGATTGGTGCCCCCCTCCCCTTTGTTTGTGCTCCTAAAAAGAATTACAGCAGATTTATATACCAGCATACACATATGTTTACACATAATAAATACTATTTGATTTAACCTTCATACGACGGCACCGGTACACTTGCTAGTTTGTGTTTTTTAATATGCGAAGTTTTTTCTTCCTATAAACATAAGAGACACGACTTTTCATGACGTCAACAATTTTAAGTTAATATAATTAGGCCAAATTTCAGTGGTTACCCGTTCCTAAGATGGGGGGTGGGGGGAGGGTGGGGGGTGGGGGGGGGGTCAAGTTTTTATACACATATAAGCTGTGACATAGTGCATTCGTACCTCAATATATATGTTATGGAAATGATGGCAGAAAATAAGACATAATACATTAATATTTTTTAATAATATTATTTTATAACAAAAAGAATATTTTGTATTTACACTATAAAAAAAGTTAGCAATTGTTTAAAATTCATTTTCACATATATATAAAAATATATACACTGAACGTTGTCTTTGATACTGAATGTTGTCTTCGAAACTGAATGTTGTCTTTGATACTGAAGGTTTTCTTTGATACTGGAGGTTGTCTTGGATAGTGAATGTTTTCTTTCATATCAAGTACTTCATTTTCACATATATGTATATATATATATATATATATATATATATATATATATATACTGAATGTTGTCTTTGATACCGAATATTGTTTTTTATACTGACTGTTTTCTTATATATAGTATTTTGTCTTTGATATTAAATGTTGTCTTTTCTTTGATACTGTTGGTTGTCTTGGATAGTGTATGTTTTCTTTCATATAAAGTACTTTATTTTCACATATATATATATATATATATATATATATATATATATATATATATATATACTGAATGTTGTCTTTGATACCGAATATTGTATTTTATACTGACTGTTTTCTTAAATATCGAATGTTGTCTTTGATACTAAATGTTGTCTTTGATACCAATTATTGTATTTTATACTGAATGTTTTCTTAAATACCGAATGTTTTCTTTGATACTGAATGTTGTCTTTGATACTGAATGTTGTCTTTGATACTGAATGTTGTCTTCGATACTGAATGTTGTCTTTGATACCGAATGTTGTCTTTGATACTGAATGTTTTCTTTGATACTGAATGTTGTCTTTGATACTGAATGTTGTCTTTGATACTGAATGTTTTCTTTGATACTGAATGTTGTCTTTGATACTGAATGTGGTCTTTGATACTGAATGTTGTCTTTGATACCGAATGTTGTCTTTGATACCGAATGTTGTCTTTGATACTGAATGTTGTCTTTGATACTGAATGTTGTCTTTGATACCGAATGTTTTCTTTGATACCGAATGTTGTCTTTGATACTGAATGTTGTCTTTGATATCGAATTTTCGTCGCAAACAGGTAGCACGCAAACGAAACATCTTTTCCTATCGTTACGTTGTTTCTTCTTCTTGTGTCGACCGAAATGACAACACCCAACAGTCGAAGTGACTCCGCGACTGGCATGACGTACTTAAGGTCTAGCTGACACTTCTGGTAGTGTCACAATGCCTCGCCTGAGCACCATTTCTATTGCGTCTCGAAGGGAATGGGTTCTCATCGAAATCCGGTTGGTACCACGAGCTTCATTTAAAGCAGGGGTCTCAAACTCAAATCATCCGGGGGCAGCAGGAGGCAGAGTCTGAGTGAGACTGGGCCGCATCAAGTATTCCACAAAAAGATAGATTACAAATTCAATAAAGTAAAACTGTTGCAATCTGCTCAAACTTTAGTAATAACAAGCAAAAACATTAAGGGTTCTCAAGAACTAGGCTTCACTTTCTTCCCACTACGCTTGTTGCCAGAGGCTTGACAGCGCAAGGGACCAAGCTGATAGGTTCAGAATTTTCCCTACTCGTAAGCATTAGCAGCAATTTTAATAGGGATTCTTTGATACTGTGTCAGATTGCTACGATTTACACAATTATTATGATTGTGCATTACCCACTGACATTTTAGTATGTTAAATTTGTATTTATAATATTCAAAGCGTGTGTTCTCAAAACCGCACTTACCAATGTTTGTCCCATAAAATTTTAAAAATTAAAAACTTTTTGGCCCGAATTGAATTTTTTTTACAATTATAATGTACTCTTTGAACAGGTTTCCTGAACAATGGGTTGTGTTTTCTAGTGGACGTAGGATGAAAAGCCAGAGAGGTCAAGCACAGTGTAGAAAGAAGCTCTTAAGCCATGCTATTTTCATAAGGTCACAGTGTACGCACACTTCAGTTTATGTATCATAGTGTCAACTCCGTCTTGGATTTGTTGCAGTATTTGTGGGGCTGTGCCTTGACTCATCGTTTCTTTTCAACTTCTCCTCTCATGGCTATAACATGAGCATGGATGATAGCTGCTAAACTTATTTGTTCTTCATTTTTAAACAATAGAACAGACTGATGTCCCATTGGGTTATTCAGAGCCGATTTGCTGTTGGGAACCAGCTTATAATCCTTGAAGAGTAATCCCAGGCCTTTGAAGATTTCGTCCTCCGAAACCCACACCATCGTCACATTGTGACGGACGGATGCCAGCCCCCCAAAAAAAGAACAGACTGGTGCATCTTTTTTTGTTGGCGAATTCGGTCGAGTTAACCACTCTTCCTTTGGCAGACGTGCGTGATCCTCGGTAGGAAGCGTTGGCTCTTTCTGACAGTACCCGCTCAAGTCGTGTCCGAGGAATTCAATGCCTTAGCAAGGTCTATAGTTGTGAAGGAGATACTGTGGTGAAGTTTATCCCAGAACCTTGATACACATTGATCAGACCAAGAACTGCTCCATCATCCCCTGTTAACTCGTTGAGGGCCATCTGTTGGTTTCCCAGTGCTGAGATGACCTTGTACCGGGTAGGCGATATCGCATCAAAAACCCAGAAAACCTTGATGGCACATTTAGATGGTACAGAGGGTGTATACTGCATGAAGTCAGTATTGCTTCTAAATGGAAACAATCTATCTATCCATATCTATATATATAATGTAAATTTAATTTATACTTATTTAAATGTTTTGTTATTGTACTGATGAAGGCACTTGCCGAAAAGTTTACTTGTGTATTATGTAAAATTATTAATAAAGCTTAAATTATATTGTTATATTGACACAACTTGTTGGCGTCTAATTAATCTATTTTAAAGCTTTATCGCACTCCAACACGTTCACAAGAAATAGCTGCGCCACAAGACATAGCTGCGCCACAAGACATAGGATACGTCACAAGACAGAACTGTGTCTCAAGAATTATCTGTATCAAAAAACTTATTGGCGCCACCAGAACTATCTGCGCATGTAAGAGGTAGAGCGATAACATTGAACATATCGTCTAGATTCTATTCGTTGTTTCCGTGTACACAATCGCTATGAAATGCTACTACATTACAGGCCGCGGAGAATATGATACTAAACCCAACAGCCATATCCTCGGGAAATACTAGATCCAGCGTCACTATCACTCACGGTCATGTAGTAGATGAACTTTCAATAATTTTGGTTTTAAAAATAAAATTTCTTCAAATTTTCCGATCTACTAAATGTAAATAAAATTTTGTGGCTATTTTATGCAAACATGAAAATATATTTAGAAGAAAACTTAACGATTATAATATAACCTGTAAGGCAATAAGATGCCATAAAATACCCCCCCCCCCCCCCCAAAAAAAAAAAAAAAAAAAGCCAAAAAAAACCCCCCCCCCCCCCCCAAATAAATAAATAAATAAATAGGTCAAAATGATTTAGGATTATTTCGCAGGAACATCTGTACAATAATTCAGCTAAATAGACTATAAATAAAATTAACCATGGACTAATTCTTAAAATACATGCTTATATATTAAAAATCCTTTTCAAACCACGATAAACTGATTGAAAAATAATTGCATGCTACAGTAATCACTTAAGTGTTTGATGTAGTTCGATCAGGTAAACAGGAAGTGTTAAATTTATATCATCAGAAATAATTAAAATCTCTCTACAATAAGGGATTATCCAATAATACACTACAGTTAAGTCACCAACCTGAATATAAATAGGATTTTTACAAAATTTCACCAAAATAACGTTTATACTAAATTCCGTACAGAAATTATATACCTACACTGAGAATTTTCAACCAAAGAACAATTTTACATAGAGTTGCAAAATTATGACACAAGATGAAAGTTTACGTGATCTGTTTAAAAAAAAAAAGAAAAAGTTCATTAAAAATATCAATGTCACATTTTGAGTACAATTTTAATATAAATACGAATACATCATTCGGACGGATTAATAGGTATTAACCATTGTGAAAACTATATAAAAAGACCAATATAGGCTTAAAAGTATTTTTCTTACAAAATACTGCTCGTATACAATTTGCCTGGGGAGATACATAAGAGAAAGAAAGAAAATGTCAACAGTTTTTCATCATAATTTGTTTTCTTTAAGTGCTTCCAGCACTAGCGGCTTCTTCAGTTTGAGCAACTTTCTTGATGTCCACTAGTGACGTCTGCGTTGAGGTGTTGGTCAGTACAAGACGTGCTCCGGGTAAAGCGGTCGGTGGTGGGAAATACCCCATGGAGGTGGAGGGGTAACCTTGGACCTGGAACCCCGCGGCGGTAGGGGGAGGGAAGTAGCCACCCGTCATCATAGGGTTGGGATAAGGATTTACCGCATTGGCTGCCGGTTGACCCTGACCCCCAACCACACTCCTGACGAGCTCCGTCTGGTCGTCCGCGCCAACCCGCGTCGCGTGTCTGGCGCCGAAATTGGTGCAACCCGCTATCATGAGCCAGATACCCGCGACGGCCACTGTATAGAAACAGTAGCCTGGCAGAACAGCAAAGTTGACGTAGTCGTAGTAGTTGTAGGAAGCGTAGTAGTACCTGTTGTTGTTGTAGATTTTGAATAGGTCTTTATCTACAGCGTAGACATCAATCAGAAACAGGGCGCATGTACATTCAGCTAAGATACCTGGACGTGAGAGAGTTGGGTTTAAAGGTTGTTTAACTTAGTTCCTTTATGAAAACTTTAACAAAAAGACACCACCATTTTAGATACAAATTACATTTTAGCTTACATTAAAGTTTAGAGCTAAATGAAATTGGCTTGCTTGCAAATTTACGTTTTAATATATAACTCTGCTGGTGTTTTGATGATGCGGTCAATGCTAATAACAAACATTCCAAAACAAAACGAGGACTTGTGGTAGTTTATTTAGGATTTGAGTAAATATATTTATTTTTAAATTATAAAATTATCTTAACTTACCTGCAAGTAAGGCCGCTGCCATGGTTATCTTCGGTATGACGGTCATGCATTGGGTGACCTTGCAACAAAGGTCAGCACACATCATTATGAAGGAAAGCAGACAGCAGAGACCGCTGAGGGCGAGTGCAGTGATCAGGGTGCCGAGCATGGCGGATTTAAAACCTAAACGCCCCAGGGAGAAGAAAGTTAAAACAAAAATATGATGAGAAGCTTTGTTTTGGATTGTTTTTTAATCACGTGATATATTTCAAAATTAATGTATGAAAAAAATTTTTTTTTTCTTTTTTATTTAAAAGAGGAACACTCAATTAATGATTTGTATCTCGTCAATCAAATGAAATAAATCCTTAAATTAAACAAACCCTAACCAGACAACTATTTTCGTAGAAATCCCGTAGGTGCATTTTTTGTGCCACTTAGAGACGGCTACATTTCTTAAGAAATTATTGCAATATATTTATTTAATTTCCGCTCAAATAAATAAAATACTTATTTTCGGGGGGGGGGGGGCTGGAGGGTTGAGGGCGTGGCTGAAAATTTTACATAATGTGTTGTCATCGGCAACAAGTCTATGAGTCACTTGTCAGCTCGATAGAATGGTCGGGAGAGGGTCATTTAGACTTCCGAAGACTTTGTCACAAGCACATAAACAAAAAGACAAGTTCATGTAAAGGGTTTAAAATAAAAACAGTCCCCTTAAAGACAAAGCTGTCCGCAAAAATCCCGTATCTGCATCTCCTTTTGCATTGCTATGATTGCACGGGATTTAGCATTGATTATGAAGTGATTATGTAAATGGGTAAACCTCTGGCGAAAACACGTTTCCTATTTCCTCCACTTTCCCCTTCAAAAATGCATTTTATTTTGACTGCATGCCCAGACCGCCACAAACACCAAGCATCAGGTACACAAGTAACGTTCATGCCATAAAACACAACCGTTAAAAATGCATTAATTCCCCCCTCCCCCCCCCCACAACCCTTTGAAAAATAGGAAGAAAATAATTGGGGGGGGGGGGTTGGGGGGGGGGGGGGGAGGGGCTAAAAATTTGACAAAATGTTTTGTCGTCGGCAAGGGGTCTACTTTTTGTTTTTATTTTTATTTTTATTAATTAAATTTTCCAAAAAACACAACCGTTAAAAAGGCATTAATTCCCCCCCCCCCCCCCCCACAACCCTTTGAAAAATAGGAAGAAAATAATTGGGGGGGGGGGGTTAGTGGGAGGGGGGGGAGGAGCTAAAAATTTGACAAAATGTTTTGTCGTCGGCAAGGAGTCTACTTTTAGTTTTTACTTTTAATTATATTAATTAAATTTCACTGCGTTATTAAAAATATACTCTTCATTTATAATTTATTTTTTAAATTACCTCGATGAGTTAGCTTAATCTTTGTATTTTTCTGTATTTATATTCTGCCTGATTAGGAGAAATTAGAAGAAATGCTCTGAATCAGGTATGGCTTTATAATATTTAAACTAGTCACATTTGTAAAATTATTGTCAAAATGTCCAAATTCTACAATTTAATTGGTGATAAAAAATTAGTTTTCTTAAAATTTGTTTCCTTCATGATTCGTTGCCATTTTCCAGTTGATTATGTGCTATTTTGAAATCTTTTCTATTTACTTCGTGTGTTTGCGGCAAAATCTTCGAAAGGCTAAATGACACACTTCGCGTACTTCTATCGAGCTGAAACTTGACACATAAACTCGTAGCCGATGAAAACACATTCTTTCAAATTGTTTAGCCGCACACACCCCCAATAGTTTGATATTACATTTTATTAAGGATTTATACGAAACATTATGTTTCAGGGTATGTTTAACAAAATCACTAAATTCTTACGTCGACTTACTTAATGCCTTGGAATTATAACTCAAAGATCCGAGGTAACCATACAAGGAAATTGCGGCACTGGTACCAGAACTGCTCGCTGTTCCCCAAGCTTCCAAGGCCACCCCGACAAAGAGAGCTGAGAACGCCATACAAAACATGACGCAGCTCGTCACGAGTCTGCACGTGTACTGTCCCATTGTCTGTGCAGACAAGAGAAATTCATTGTAAATTATCACGGGAAAAGTTTCCCAAAACAAGGACGTCACCTCTTTTTAAATCAAAGTAAAAGCCATTTCTCTTAAAAGGGGTGCACCAGCAACGATCCTCAGACCCTCAGTTGTGGGTCTACCATTGGTAGAAAATTATTTTGTTTAAATAACAAACAACACTTACCTCACCAAAAAAAACACAAAAAACAATCATCAATAAATTCTTTTCCATATATTATATAAGTCCCGGATTTCACGTGGATTGTGAATGATTGTATGTCACTTTGAAAAACTTGATAGCAATGCCTTGGCCTTTTATTCGGTGCAATTCTGATGTTGATACAAGTTATATACATGTATATAAATTATTAAAGTGGTCTTATACAGCGAGGTACCACAGACTAGGGCTAGGCTCACCGCACTTCAAGTAAAAATTAGAAAAAGGAAAAAAAAAAAAAGAGAACAAAATAAAGAAAATAAACATGACATTAAAAAACAGTTGCATCAAATTATTCATTTAAAAACAGCTTTGTAAAAATTGATAAGTTTTATACGTCTACTAATTTTATCACTACATAAAACAACACCAAGTTCATGTATGTACTTATCTATTCAAAGTTTATCATCATCAAATTTTAGTAGCAACTCTCACATCAACAGTGGACGATAGACAGGAGACAAAGCAACTGTTTTGTTTATTTCCTCTGAATTTGTGCTTGTTGTCGTTTCTACAAATTATTTCAACGTTTCCCTTAGATTAGACACAATTGACTTTTTTTTTTTCATTTTTCTTGATTAGAAGAGACATTGTATGAAATTAAATAGTTCTGATTGTAAAGTATTTCATGTCCAAAAAGTTTTTGTAAACCCTCCATTTCAATGTCACCTATTTTTTTTTTTAGGCCCGACTGGGTTTTCACTGAATTATTTTATTTTTGTTTAACAAAATGAACAATGCATTGGTTATTAATAAAAAAATAGCCATTTAAATTTAAGAAAAAAAAACAACAACGCATAATATATTAAAATTTTACATTTTATGTTTGCAGACAACCAAATATATATTTATATTATTTTTATGTCAACTTACCACAAATTTAACAAGACAGACTATTGTAATGATTTCAATATCGCTATGAAGATACTGCGTAAACAGATTCAATGGGGCAAGGTCATTTCGCTATCTCTACCAACCAGCTCAGACAGACGGTTGATTGTAGAGAGACACTGTTGGAACGTTTCGTTTTGTCACCGACCCCGGAATGAATCATTTGGTGTTTTGGCCAGAAACCATAGCAAGTTTCGTGACGTAATGTGAAGTGGAGGGTATGGGGGGGGGGAGGGGTTGAATGCCATGGCAAAGATAGTAGCGCAAATCTTATACTTAAGAACAATGGCGTAGCTTGGGTGGTGCAACATGGGGCGGACCGCCTCCATCCCCCGCAGCCCCATTTCTATGACACGAACCAAATCAATGAGTCTCCCGATACAATTAATATTTGGACAGCGCAATGAATCCTGTTGTTGTCGGCCGACTGTTCGAGATGAATAAACCCCTCATCATGACAGTTCCGTGGCATATAGGTTGACCGTTGAGTCTGACCGTTGAGTCTGACCGTTGAGTCTGACCGTTGAGTCTGACCGTTGAGTCTGACCGTTGAGTCTGACCGTTGAGTCTGACCGTTGAGTCTGAGCGTTGAGTCTGACCGTTGAGTCTGACTGTTGAGTCTGACCGTTGAGTCTGACCGCTGAGTCTGCCCGTTGAGTCTGACCGTTGAGTCTGACCGTTGAGTCTGACCGTTGAGTCTGACCGTTGAGTCTGACCGTTGAGTCTGACTGTTGAGTCTGACCTTAACATTTCATCGTTTTTAAGTTGATTAATGTAATAAGGGGAAGAAAAATTTGGAGTTTAGGTAGAGAGATGGAGAGAAGAGGGTCAGAAAAGACGAGAAAGAGAAAATGAGAGAGAGAGAGAGAGAGAGAGAGAGAAAGAGAGAGAGAGAGAGAGTAATAAGTATCGTAACTTAAAAAACACAAATTATGTTCAGCAGGGCCGGCTGAAGCTACCGGCAGATCGGGCAGTTGCCCGGGGCACTATGTGCTCAGGGTGCCATTAAGATCTTCCAACATAGGAAAAAGCATGGCTTGTGGATGCCATGGAAGAAAAATAGAAAGCGCAATAAAAAGATTTCCTGATCTATAGGCTAGGTAAAAAAGTCAAAGGCTAATTGTTCATACTGTCGAAACACAAGTTAAGAAAATCTCTCTTATTGTTCATTGTTTGGTTAAAAAATAAGACTAGGTACCTAGGTAATAAACGTACTACCTAAAACCTAGTTTTTCCTTGCAACAAGTGTTATGATTATACTAAAAGGGACGCTAGATTAAGTTTGCCCGTGGCGCCAACAACGGCATGGCTGGCCCTGATGGTCCCATAAGAAAGAGGATTAAAAAAACGCAACCCAAATCAATTAGATTGTAATTGTATTTTGCCGTGTTTGCCTTCTGCTTAACTGAGAGTGTTCAAACTCACCTTTAAAAAAAAAAAGAAAAATGCGAATCTCCACATCACCCAAAGATCTATTTATTTATCGACGGTGCTGATCTAATCAGATCCACGGGTCTTTGCTTTTGTTTGCTAGCTGACTGGCTATCGAGCTGAAGCTTCTCTATCTATGTGAGGGCCAAAGATCACTTTAATGGCTCCTTGTTTGAATTCAATATTTGCCTGGTGTTTGAGATGTTGGCCTAGGTGGGGATTGAACTCAATCAGTTAATTGGAATTGAGCTCGTTTAGACCGCTCTTCCACCAAGCACCCAACTTAGTATTTAGGCTCGTTAATAAGACAGTTTTCCTTTTTTTCTTGGGAAGATAAAATTAAATTTCCGATAAGCGCACTAAATGAGATTCTTTATAAAAAAAATATGGCGCGTGATATTTTATGTTGTTTTTCTTTTGTAAAAACGGGTGGGTCATTAGAATATTAATATAGTTCAGGAGGGACAGGAATGCAACAGACATTAATTAAAGGAATAAAATAGACATGAGGTGATAGGAATACAACAAACATGAGAAGATAGGAATACAGCAGACATGAGGTGATAGGAATACATCAGACATGAGGTGATAGGAATAGAACAGACATGAGGTGATAGGCATACAACAGACATGAGGTGATAGGCATACAGCAGACATGAGGTGATAGGAATACAATAAACATGAGATCATAAGAATAGAACAGACATGAGGTGTTAGGCATACAACAGACATGAGGTGATATGAATACAGCAAACATGAGATGATAGGTATAAAACAGTCATGAGGTGATAAGTATACAATAGACATGAGGGAGAAAGGAATACAACAAACATGAGAACCAAAAAACATGAGGATACAAGGAACAATGAGGTCAGAGGAACAAAACAACAACCATTGCACTATTCGATTGAAAATAAAGAATGCAAACCAGCAGAATACTTACTGCAGTTTTATTGAGTCGAGTACAAGATGAAGACCGGTACAAAATATTGTCAGGTAAGAACTATTTAAATATGTTCAGAGAAGCTCTGAGAATTTAAAATCTGTACCGTATAATTAAAATATCATTAGGAGAATATCTCATATAAAATAAGGAGCTATCACATAAAAAAATACTATTTACAGAAAAAAACAACAACAATTAAATGGTCCACTTGTCCCCTCCCAAGTAGTAAACCAAGAACATTTTTGGGTGTAAAATTGTCATCATACAAATTAAATGAGCGGACGGATTAAAGAAAAGTACAGTCACAGAAATATGCGTAGATTGTGTATGTTATAACAGTAAACTCGTAATTGATGGATCTAGACACAAATGTTGATTTATGTAAAAACTCTAAGTGTGAATCTGCTACAACGCCAATTTTCCAATGACGATCGACTAAGTAGCTTCATCACTAACAAAGTTAAAAAAAAATTGAATCGAAAAGTAAATTATGTACTGGTAATAAATTTTTCTAAACAGAAAAAAATATTATAAAAACTAGGTTAAAGATATGAGACAATAGAATGCATTTCAGTGGTTCTAAAACTATTTCTTGACAGTCTCTGCAGCTTTCTTGATGTCAACGAGGGACGTTTGGGTGGACGTGTTAGACAAAACAAGTCGGGGTCCGTAAAAGGCGGTTTGCGGGGGGAAATACCCCATGGAGGTTGGTGGACGGGGGTACCCTTGTATCTGGTCTCCCATTGCCGTGGACGGAGGGAAGTAGCCGCTCATATGCAACCCCTGGGTTTGCCCGTACAGGCTGTTCATCCCCGCCGCCTGACTCTGCTGCCCGACCACACTTATCCCGGTCACTGTCTGCTGGTTGTCAACCCCGACTCGGGTCGCATGCCTTGCTCCAAAGTTTGTACAGCCCGCGATCAGCAGCCAGATTCCGGTGGCGGCAGTCATGTAGAAGCAGTAGCCAGGAAGAATATTGATGGTCCAAAGTGTTTGGAACTCTTTGACGGCGTAGATGTTGATAAGAAACAAGGCGGCACAAACTTCAGCCAAGATACCTGTTTGGGAAAAATATTCTATGCTGATTCCAGTTTCCATAAACGATAACAAGAAAAGACCCCCAAAAATGTAAACGTGGCCATATAATTTATTAACAATTTTAGTTTAAATACGAAAACTACTTAGCTGATTGTGTTAAGGGTTAGCGTTAAGAATAGAGTTATGGTTAGGATAGGGTTAGGGTAGGTTTAGGGAATGGGTTAGGGATAGGGTTAAGGATAGGGTTATGGGTAGGGATATGGTGAGAGATAGGTTAAGGTTTAGGGATAGGGTTAAGGATAGGTTTATGGATAGGGATCGGTGAGAGATAGGTTAAGGTTTAGGGATAGGGTTAAGGATAGGGTTATGGATAGGGATATGCTGAGAGATAGGTTAAGGTTTAGGATAGGGTTAAGGATAGGGTTATGGATAGGGATATGCTGAGAGATAGGTTAAGGTTTAGGGATAGGGTTAAGGATAGGTTTATGGATAGGGATATGCTGAGAGATAGGTTAAGGTTTAGGGATAGGGTTAAGGATAGGTTTATGGATAGGGACAGGGTTAGGTTTCGGGAAACGTCAAGCCGGAAAGTTTCTGATGCAATGAACTGGTGTGTGACGGGAACTGATGGGAGGGAACGACAGACAAAACACATCAAGACTTTGTTACAGGTGTGTGACGGGAACTGATGGGATGGAACGACAGACAAAAAACATCAAGACTTTGTTACAGGTGTGTGACCGGGAACTGATGGGATGGAACGACAGACAAAACACATCAAGACTTTGTTACAGGTGTGTGACCGGGAACTGATGGGATGGAACGACAGACAAAAAACATCAAGACTTTGTTACAGGTGTGTGACGGGAACTGATGGGATGGAACGACAGACAAAACACATCAAGACTTTGTTACAGGTATGTGACGGGAACTGATGGGATGGAACGACAGACAAAACACATCAAGACTTTGTTGACCTGCCAGAGTTGCCATTGTCATTGTAATCTTCGGTATAACCATCATGCACTGTGTCACCTTACAGCAACAGTCGGCACACATCATGATGAAGGACAAGAGAAAGCAGAGCGCAGTCAAGCTAATGGAGGTACACAGTGAAGCCATCATGGCGGTGGAGAAATCTACAGAATTGAAAAATTTGAGAAATGATTTAAAAAAATACGTTTTGATGTACTGATTAAAATTTTAAGGAAAGATTATTTTAATTATTAAATCACAGATACAAATAATAAACAAACAACAAAAATACACATTAACTGTTTCAAGAGTATAAATCTAATACATTTGGAAGCAGTTCGTTTAGCTAAATAAGTGTACCACTTTATCTGACACAATAAATTTATGTGCTTTTTTTTTCTTCTTCCTCTGTAAAAGTTAAATATTAACCGTTTGCTGTTGAGAGTTTTATTAACAAATTTAAAAGTAACAAAGAAAAAAAAATTGACCTGAAATTAATATAACGGTGTTTGAAAATTTGAATTTTGTACTAAGGAACACATTGGTATTCTTTTCTTTGTGATTTATCTTCACACTTAAGAAGTTCAAAATTTACTATTTTCAAATGAAAGTTGATCTATTTCCATATAACAAAAAAATCCCTTTAACAATTAAGTGATAAAATATAAGTTAGAAAAGATTGACCAAATCAAATATTTCGAATAAATGTTATGCCTGGGTCAAAGAATTGATATCTGCCAGAATATTTCCTGTCATCGAAGATGAAAACTTCGCCGATGCTGGACCAGCCCGGCAGCAGTATAGCGACAAGCAGGAGAGAGAAGGCGACACCGAACATGATCCAACTGGTCACCAGTCGGCAGGTGTAGTCTCCCATGTTTCTTGAGTTACCCCTGAGTATCTGTAAACTATATTCATGTTTGAAAAAGAGTGTATCTGTAAACTGATGTAATTGATTAAACAAACATGTGGACGCTGGACATGAAAAGCAGAAAAACCAACTAGAAATAAAATGAAATTATTCATCTGATCAGCTATGTACATCAAAACCACAAGTAACAACGCATTTTAGCAGCGCGTTGATTGTCTGCATTTGTAGTTATCAAATCTTTTAAAAGTAAGATCTCCCGTACATCAATGGTATTGATAATTTTCAACGATACATTTTTATTTGATGGATAAACAAAATTAAGGGATATATTTAGAAAAAAAATGTAATAATATATTTAGAAATAAATAGTTAGACGTATACACACTCAGTTACATTATATATTGAATCTCTCTACACAACACTATAAAATTTTACAATTAATACTTACTAGTTACTTTAAATTTGTTGCAAAATAAAAAAACGAAAGGCTACACGAAATTAATACTTTCAGAGTTAATTGAACACAATATTTAACTTATTCTAAGCGATGCAAAGAAATTTTAAACATAGCACGCCATTTAACTTATTCTAAGCGATGTAACGAAATTTTAAACATAATTTTAAATAATAATAAAACATTTTAATTTCGTCCACAATTGCTTTGATTATTTCCAAAAATCACGAAACGCAGGTTATTGAATTATTCATTGTGCACCTTTAAATGATATTGACCTACATTATTTTAATTTATTTGCGTTTGTCAATATATTTGGGGTTTTTATTTTCTTTAGGTAAATTTTAAAAACGAAATTTAACAATAACAACCCAAATGGCAAAGAAATCGAATATTTCTCTTTTTTTTCTTTCCCTTCAACGTTATCTCTCGTTCATCTCTAAACACTGTTGGTATATCATGCTTACCTGCCGCTATGAAGTTACCTCTCCGGACAAATGCAGGCAACTAAATTGTGGGGGATTTCTTATCTTAACAACAACGGCGGCAAAATTGTTAGACATGTACCAGCAGGAAAGGGTTAACATTAAAATGACTAATGATAATAACAAAAATAATAATGTAGCATAGTTATAAAATAAGACAAGATGCTTTTAATGGTAATAAAAGATGTGCAAATTAGTTTTGATAGCATGTCACATGTAGTTTACAGGCTTGAAATTCTTTGTCTGAGTTTTTGCAACTACTATTATTATTGCTACGGTTTATTCATTACATGAGTGTCTTTAAAATTTCCGTGTGTAAACTTTGACCAGCTATAAAGCTGACGGTAAGGTTTTGAAATTCGGCTACTTTTTAAGCCTATTAAAAATTGATTGATGTAAGTTTGACCGTCATGAAATATAAGAATCTCTTTTGAATTCGCTGACCACTTTAACAAATGGAACTGTTTCCTCTATGGGGAGATATCGGTCTACACACCCCTAAATTAAATATTCCACAATCAAACACCAAATTGAGTCTCTTTTAAATCCTTGAGTTTAACTTCGCTTTTGTTGGTGGGTTTCAAAATCTTCGGACGGCTAATCGACCCACTTCCCGTCGACCTATTTAACTAAAACTTGGCACATAGACTCGATGAAAACAAACGCTATCAAATTTTCAGCCCCCCCCCCCAACCCCCCCTCCCCTATCAGTTTTGTTTTTATTTTTCAAGGGGAAGATGAAGGAAAAATGATGCCACAGATTACACGAAATAAATTTCCCGATAACTGCACTAAATAGGATTTAAAAAAAAAAAAAATTACTAATATCCCAAGTGCGACTGTTTTTTTCTGAAATTGTTGATCAAACAAATCTATTGTGTAAATGTGAGTGGGTCATTAGAATAGTAATAGTGTTCAGGGGCGTGACAAAATATGTGGTTGCGAGCCTTGTGGGGGGGGGGGCGCTTCACTAATCAGAATTCTTATAAAGTGTGTTACTTATATTCATGTTTTGTCAATTTTCAACCCTATCCCAATTTTTCGATATTAAATATGAATTTTTTAAAAAATAATTGTTTACTTTAATGTACACTACCTGAAAGTGAGTATCAGAAAAAAAACAACGTTAAAATAGCGAAATATTTTAATACTTTTTTGTAAATGTGTTATAATTATCCTCACACAAATAACGCTCAAGAGATATAGTATAGCTCTACTGATCCTCGTTTTTTAGTTAGATAGCTTATTCTACCCAGAAAAAAAAGAAACAAATATATGTCCCCTTAACGACTTTTGGCCACTTAAAATTTGACTACTTAAAATTTGGTAGGCATCTTGGAGTCTCATTTACCTACAAAGTCATGAGTACCTGTTATTGGTACCGATTTAAAAAAAAATGAAAACAACTGCCCCCGTTGATAACTTAAACAACTGCCTCCGTTGATAACTTAAACAACTGCCTCCGTTGATAACTTAAACAACTGCCTCCATTGATAACTTAAACAACTGCCTCCGTTGATAACTTAAACAACTGCCTCCATTAATAACTTAAACAACTGCCTCCGTTGATAACTTAAACAACTGCCTCCGTTGATAACTTAAACAACTTCCTCCGTTGATAACTTAAACAACTGCCTCCTTGATAACTTAAACAACTTCCTCCGTTGATAACTTAAGCAACTGCCTCCGTTGATAACTTAAACAACTGCCTCCGTTGATAACTTAAACAACTGCCTCCATTAATAACTTAAACAACTGCCTCCGTTGATAACTTAAACAACTTCCTCCGTTGATAACTTAAACAACTTCCTCCGTTGATAACTTAAACAACTGCCTCCGTTGATAACTTAAACAACTTCCTCCGTTGATAACTTAAACAACTTCCTCCGTTGATAACTTAAACAACTGCCTCCGTTGATAACTTAAACAACTGCCTCCGTTGATAACTTAAACAACTGCCTCCATTAATAACTTAAACAACTGCCTCCATTAATAACTTAAACAACTGCCTCCATTAATAACTTAAACAACTGCCTCCGTTGATAACTTAAACAACTGCCTCCATTGATAACTTAAACAACACTTTTAATTTTAATACATGAAGACATCAACAAAAATAACTCTTAAATACCTCGTTTGATTTTGATACCCGTTAAAAGTGCTTTTAGTGGCACTCACCTTAATTCGAAGAAATCCGTGTACTTTTCCTAGAAGACTTCTTTTCTCAAAGCATTGAATTCCAATTATAGATAAGATATATATCAAATTTGGTTGCTACTACTGACAGCAAAAGAAAAAGAAAATGAAAAATAAAAACGACCGTTTCATTCTTATCTTAAGATTGACCTCTCCTCTGCACACCCGGATGTTAGGAATAGTCACTTCAGCTTTTGAGACTAGTCCTAAATAGACGAGAGCTGTCGCGGTCTGATAGGAAAATACAATTTCTGATAAAGTGTTATGCATCAAGACAAATGTCAACTTGATAAACCTGCCTTATCTCGTGCCTTATTTGAGTGTTAAAAGTCTCCAGATCATGCGTTGTTCCTAGTAGGATGAAAATGATAATTTAAAACTTGACATCTTCCAAAAATTTCCAATGATCATCTATATAAAAGAAAATGGAATCCAAATGCCGTCGATCAAAACTGTATAGTTTGAGGGTTACACGTTAGAATGGTTGCTACTGTTCTACACACATCTTAGGCTTTAAGTCGCTAAAAATAATATATCTTGCTACTTAAAAGGTTTAGCTTCACGGTTTAAACAAGTTAAGAGGCTCGTTGAATAGAGATTAGCAAAGGTTAATCACAAAGCTGTGTACTTGTGTCATGGAATGAAGCTGACCCCCTGACGAGTGGGACTCTTACTCAAGCTCAACCACCTGGATAGTGTGTCATGGACAGAAACTCACACCACCTGATCAGTGTGTCATGGACAGAAGCTCACACCACCTGATCAGTGTGTCATGGACAGGAGCTCACACCACCTGATCAGTATGTCATGGACAGAAGCTCACACCACCTGATCAGTGTGTCATGGACAGAAGCTCACACCACCTGATTAGTGTGTCATGGACAGAAGCTCACACCACCTGATCAGTGTGTCATGGACAGAAGCTCACACCACCTGATCAGTGTGTCATGGACAGAAGCTCAACGAGCTGGCAAGTGTTTCATGGGCAAAAACTGATACTACCTGGCTATAGTGACTACATGTGCTTAAATCACCTTCTAAGTGTGAAATACATAAGCTCAAACACCTGACTAGTATGAATGTACGTAGACTCACACCACATGAGTAGTAGCGTTGTATATAGTGTTAACCGTTGTCCGGGGCTGAGGGTAGCCGAAGGGCATAGAACCTTCAGTAAAAATGGCCTGAAGCATGTAAAAGACTGAATCCGGCAAACTGTGCGAAGGAACCACTACCATGGCCAGACACGTAGAACGCCATGGACATTCACTACACCCAATCCCACCCCTAGCCGCCTCGACATTGTCTTGCTGCTGGATCAAGATGATATTGGGCGAGAGAGTGAGGATGACGACTCGCGTAACTCTTCCTCGCTTAAATAAAAATCACAGCGCGTGTCACTTAATCATCAAAAGTCCTGTGGCGATGGGCCGTTCTTCACTGAAAAGGAGCAGCAGTGGTGTCCGACAGCCCCCTGAGCGACTGAGCAGCCCTCTATAGGAACACACTGCTCACCTCCATGGCACGAGGGAGGGGCTAGAAAAGGTGCCCTAAAAATTTTCCAATCTTCATTATCCAGCCTAGCGCATTCGGATGTGACCCTATCTGTGCTAGCCTACATAAGTTGGAGGGGTCCCTATCTATGCCAGCCTACCCCAGTTGGAGGAGACGCTATCTATGCCAGCCTACATCAGTTGGAGGAGACCCTAAATATGACAGTCTACACCAGTTGGAGGAGACCCTATCAATGCCAGCCTACACCAGTTGGAGGAGACCCTATCTATGCCAGCCTACCCCAGTTAGAGGAGACGCTATCTATGCCAGCCTACCCCAGTTGGAAGAGACCCTAAATATGCGCTTGAAATTCAAAGATAAAAAAATCCCACTACAGGTCAGTTCATGGAATGTGCGGGCTCTACATGGCAAAAATGACGCGGACTGACCTCAGAGATGAACAGCCCTTAAAGGAAATGAACTAGCAATGCACGAGGTGGACATCACATCCCTAGCGAGACCCGCCTTGTGGGAGTGAGCGAACTTTGTGAATAGGGCTCTGGATTAACCTTTTTGAGTAGCAGAGAAAGCGAGGAGGGGCGCGAGGCTAGTGTTGTTTTGCTATTAAAACTACAATGTTAAACATGCTTGATGGTCTTCTGAAAGGAGTCAACGACAGGATAATTGCAATGAAACTCCCTCTCGTATCTGGAATAAAACAGCCCAACATTATTGGCTGTTTTGCTCCAACAATGACATACCCAGATGAAAAAAAAGCAAGTTATACGAGGATCTTCACTCTGTCACAGCAGGCTTTCCAACGCAGGAAAAGATTATAATTCTTTGTGGCTTCAATGCTCGAGTTGGCAGCGACCACATGGCTTGGCATGGGACTCTAGGAAAGTATGGATTGGACCAGTGCAACAGTAACGGTCGTCTCCTGCTCCAGGCACGGGCAGAGAATGAAATGCTGATTGTTAACACAATATTACGCCTTGTGGCACATAGTCCGACGTCCCGGATGCAACCTCGTTCAAAACATTGGCGCCTCATCGACCATGTCATCATCAGGAGAAAGAACAGTCAAGAGGTGTGTGTAACCAAGTCCATGTGTGGTGCAGAATGAGAACTGATCATCGTCTTATTATCACCAAGCTTAACTTACACATACAACCAAAAAGACGTCCACAAGGAAAGAGGATTCCCTAAATGTCCAAACACCACAAAAGTTGAAAAGCCCCTTTATTAAGAAATCCTTTGTGGACGCTCTGGGATATAGTATGGAGTCGACACTATTAAAAAATGACAACCTTGAAGCTAACTGGGCACCACTTAGACCCATGTTGTACAACACCGCCATACAGATTCTTGGGTAGAGCTAAAAAAACCACCAGGAATGGTTTGATATTATATATATATATATATATATATTATTACAGATAGATAGATAGATAGATAAATAGATAGATAGATAGATATATAGACAGATGTAGATAGATAGATTAATTGAAAGATAGATATAAATAAACTAGATAGATAGATAGATAGATAGATAGATAGATAGATAGATAGATAGATAGATAGATAGATAGATAGATAGATAGATAGATAGATAGATAGATAGACAGATAGATAGATAGATAGAAATATAGATAGATAGTTTGATTGATAGACAGATGTAGATAGATAGATATATATATTGATAGATAGATATATATATATAGATATATTTATAGATAGATAGGTAGGTAGATAGATAGATAGATAGATAGATAGATAGATAGATAGATAGATTAGATAGGCATGTTTAAAGACATTTATCATCTGATTTTCATCAGACTTTATCAAAAGTAAAATGATTTGTTTCATAGATAACCTGGTTTGTTAATTTTTTAAGGCGCATCATATTTAAAAAAAAAAAAAATATTTTCTTTTCGTCTTGAACATCATAACTAAAACAAAGATAAAGCATTAGGCACAATAAAAGTCAGCACTCTCACCTTATATATAATTTCTAATTGCGCATGTTCCAGTATTTGCCCGGCTCTTATAATAACTACTATATATGTTTTTTTTTTGTTTTTTTTGGGGGGTTTTCTAAGAAATAACGCAATGTTGCATTTATGCGGGGTTTCAAACTTGCACTCAAATAGCACAGGAAATGGTGAAGACGATAGCTGTGATCAACAATGAAACATGCAATAGAAAGAAGTTTTGCAATATTTAGTTTTATTTATAATGCCACGCTAGGGAAGTCCAGAGGATTACCCAATAGAAGGTCTTAGCTATAGCTCGCATAGACGAATGTCCCATCACGGCAATCATGAGATTCAAATGATCTTTGACACGTAAATTAACACATGTCGTTCAACCCACATACCAGGAACACGGGCACCAGCCAAAGATATCCAAGTTTACTAAATATATCTATGTTTACCAAAGATATCTATGTTTACTAAATATATCTATGTTTACCAAAGATATCTATGTTTACTAAATATATCTATGTTTACCAAAGATATATCAGTCCTTGACAGTGTCACGAGTTTTTTTTGGTAATCATTATTACCTCCTCTTTAAAAGAATACAAGAATGAAAAGGTACAATAAAAATGGATAATAAAATATATAACATGATTACATGATGTCTAATGATGACATGATGTCTCATGATTACATGATTTCTCATGATGACATGACGTCTCATGATTAATGAGTCTCATGCTTACATGATGTCTCATGATTACAGGATGTTTCATACCAACATGATGTCTCATGATTACATGATGTCTAATGATTACATGATGTCTCATGATTACATGGTGTCACTTGATGTCTCATGTTTGAATTATGTCATATTGCTAAAAAATGTGAGGATAGTTTGGATGACCTTCATCACAGGAAACTGCATCACCCATGTCACATGCCAAGGCACCCATGTTAACATGTCACACATGATAGAAAACTGTGTTTATCTGATTTTCGGCTAACATTTTGATGACTTCCAATTATGTATTTATTTATTTTCGAAATATAAACGAAGGTAAACTAAAGTTATAGAAGTAAATATTAAACCTTAACTTTAAGAAGAATTTTATAATTGACGCTGCCCTTGGTAATTGGGGATGCTTTTTGTTCAATTGGGGGGGGGGGCTTGATTTAGTGTTACTGCCCCCCCCCCCCCGCCCCGACACACACACCACTCTTTGGTTGGCGGAAATGTCACTTTTAAATATTTAAAGGCAATAGCGCCATCTTGGGTATTCCCCCCCCCCACCTCCCTAATAGAAAAAAGTGCCGTGGGGTGTAACACCCGCCCTCCGCCCCTACCTACACTCGTGCATTTTTAAAACTTTTTTTAATATCTTACATTTTTAATTGAATAACAAATCCTTCGGCAGATTTTGTTAAAATTCACTTAGTACAGAAGTCTTAAATAATTGCCACCCTCTACAAAAGAAAGATCTCATCGCCCGGGGACAAGATTCGGGCCCGGGGACAAGATCCATTTTTAGCGCCCCTTTTTCTTTTTTTCAACTCTCAAACCCATTATTTTCATCAATAAAATAATATCAAAGCACATTTTGGCGCCCCTAACTAGCTGGCGCCCGGGGACATCTGTCCACCCCCCCTGCCCCCACCACGCTACGCCTCTGGATCTCATTCCTGTGAAAAATAGGTCGC